CAGTGGCTTTTGACATAAGACAAATTTATCAATCCAATGAATAATATTGTGTGTGTAATTTGATTGTTTTAGTTGCATGTCCATCCATCCATCCATCCATCCATCCATCCATCCATTTTCTTCCCCTTAATCCATTTCTGGGTCGGGGGGGTGGCAGTCAGAGCTGCACCCAGTACACAGAGCACCAGCCCCTCACTGATCCTCCTGCAGGTGGTGAGTCCACAGGAGCTGAGATCTTTCAGTTGGGGCTTTGGGCAAAGTGGGGTTAAGTGTCTTGCCCAAGGACACAACGACAGCAGTCATCAGTGGGAGTCGTGAAGTAGGTCTTACGGTGGGCTCGAACCCACAACCTTCAGGCCCAAAGGCCAATGCTCTACCAACTGAGCTACTGTCGCCCTTAGTTGCATGTCTGCATGGCCAATCTTAATCCGTTGGCTCCCATGTTTAGTGGTGATAATCATTTTTGCTCACATTTTACACCAAGTGCTCTATTGTAATGTTAGTGCAATAATCGCTCAAAACATAGACCTAAGTGGCTCTGTTAAAGCCGTTTTATCTTTTATGTTTATTGAGCTTCATTATCACATTTGAGAACAATACAGGGGAACTGCGGGTGGAAGTTGTTTGTGATTTACCGTATGTACTGACTGACTGAGATGCATAAGCAGGAAGCATGCCTCTCTTCCTATTGTTGGTGGAAATAACACTTCATGATATAATCTGTGCCGTTTTTCAGCGGGAGAGAAGTCCGCAGTGCTGAACCCCGGAGAGCCTGTCATGTGCATGTGTGACGCTATGCGCTTTTTTTCCTGCCCGCGTACTACTATGTGTGTCAGACTGGTGAGATTGGGGAGACTAAACCCATGGTGTGGTTTCTATGGTAACCCTCCAGTTCTGCAGAATGGGTGTGATTCAGGGTTGAGCATGCACACACATACACAGACGCACAATTAGCCCCCTGTCACTACACACCAACAGCGGAACTGGCGCTTTGGTGGAGGGATGGGAAAAACCCGTACAGAGGTCTGTGTGTTTAATGGTCCAAGTTGGTCTGAGGTTGAAACACTGCCGCCTTATAACCTCCACACTGACCCCGATTTACCATCAACACTTGCACCCAGCTGTATCTACTGTAAAGCCTGCGTCGCCCTTCACTTCCACCTCTTCAGCCGGAGCGTTTCCCCCGGCGACAGCGTTTCCCACACTTCTGTTGTGGGTTTCTGTCCACACGTTACAAAGTGCAGATGATGCTTGATATAGAACTGTCAAGAATTCCTATATTTTGCCATTGGATTAGATATGTGATCTTATATGATTCGTCGTAAGTAATTAGTAATCTTTTATTTATATACCGCCTTTTCACTGCAGATCTGAGTCTCAAAGCGGTTTACAATTGTTAATTTTGGGCATTTGTCTCTCACTCCACACAGAGATGGGAGCAGGGTCACCAGTACAGGAAGCGCATGCCAGAACTATTGGACATATTTTTAGTGGTAGGGGAAACCGGAGTACCCGGAGGAAACCTACGCAGACACGGGGAGAACATGCAAACTCCACTCAGAAAGGCCCTGGTTCGACCGGGATTCGAACCCAGGACCTTCTTGCTGAGAGGCGAGAGTGCTATCCACTCAGCCACCGTGCCGCCCGTCGTTTCCTTTTTTGCTTGAAAAACTGGTGAATTGTTGTTTTTCTACCAAAATTGATGCTGATGAAGTCACTTAAGGGTTTGATTTAAGTTAATTCAATGCAAATGTTTTATTTAAAATCCAAAATTACAAATTAAGTAATAAATCAAATTTAGGCAATTAATCAGCTTTTAAAATCGAGATTTTACTTTTTTGCCATATCGCCCAGCCCTAATCCTAACGTCCTGGAGCTTCATTCCTAGTACTTGTATTCATGCTAACAATTATCTTGTTAACAAAATGTGTGATATAGGATATCTTGTTTTAGACTAACCATTGCTTAATAGATAAACAAAATATTATAGAAATGAACTTTCCTATTTTCTGATTTCTAATACAGTAATAGCGTGTTATTCTTGTAATGTAAGATTTATATTGGAGAATTCTGAAGCTGTTGATGCATTCACAAAAACATGTCCGGGTAACAAGATTGCCTAATACGTATTTAAACAAATATATGTAACTGAAAATGAGCGACTTGACAATTTGATACTTTTCTTCAAAACCGCATCTCTGATGATCAGTTGAAAGTCGCTGTGGGATGGAAGATGAGCCAGTGTTGAGGGACTCTGCGTCCTGCTGGAATCAATAATAAACTGGTGTAGAGGAAGAAGGGTGAGGGGGGATGAGGGGAGTGATAGAGGTATGTGTCAAAGCTGCGTGCCTGCAGTGAGAAGCGATCAAATCAAAGCAGAAGCTCCTCTTTCCTTCAACTGTTTAGGCTTTCGTTTCTTCTTTGTTCAGTTTTCATGTAGTTTGAGAGAGTTCTAGTTTGGAAGTTGCTAGCCTAACTTCTACTCGCATAGCCACGGGAAAACCTTCGGCAACTATTTTATTTTCAGTAATTAATTAATTTTTTGGCATTCATAAAAGTGGACAGAAGTTTATTTTGTGTGTTCTGTTGGTACAAAGCCGTATGATAAACGGGAAAATGTATAGAAGGCAGGTCATCATCGGAAAATAAGTACCTTCAGGGCGGTTCGCCCTGAAGGTACTTATCTTCCGATAATGACCTGCATAATATACATTATCCCTTACTTACTTTATGCATGACCGATACCAAGTAGTAAGGATTTAGGCTGAAATAAATCCTTTCAAGATTTGTAAAGTTGATGTAATTGCATTTGATTGTAAAAAGGCTAGCACTAAGAGCACTACTAAAGTATTTCTATAAACAAAATGATTTTTACTCTGCCCATCCTGCAATGCCTTAACCTGTTATCATCCAGTCAGGTGCAGTGGTTGCCTGGTTAGGACCTTGAGGATTTTACTTGTGTAGCGATAAAACCACCGAGATATGGGGAGAAACCTGTAAACTCTGGAATTTCCACACTGGAATTCACTGTTGCCTTCTTGCTGTGGGGCATAAGCTCTACCCATCTTCCTGCTAGACACAAAATAGTCCACAACTAACAACAGTAACAACATAACAGTTTTTCCTATTGTTTATATTTGACCGGTCTGAGGTTATAGGATACATTTTAAGTGACAGTTTTGATGTTGTTGTGAGTTTTTCTGTGCAGCAGTGGAATATGCTGTGTGTGTATGCGTGTTGACTCGTGTGAATTCTATGACATGCTCCGTGCAGACTGCTCGCTCACTCTGCAATGTCCATCATGTTTTATGCATGAGAGCTAAGCCTTTACCCACTAATCCAGGCAACATATTACTTCAGTTATTTATCACTGGAGCTAATCCTTGATGTCTGTCATTTTGTGCTCATCCACAAAACCGTGTGCAGCAGCAAAATTTCAAGTGGAAGGTGTACAGAGGGTGCAGAATTAAACCAGTGAGGGGACATTTTTTTAAAGCCTTTTGGGCTGCAGGAATGTATGAATTTAAACTGAATAGCACTTTAGTCTAAACCCTGTGTCCAGTAGAATTAAAATTTCAGTGTTTTTAAAATACTACTTTTAATGTTTTTGCCTCAGTACGGCTGAAAAAGATTTGTATAGTGACTGAACCTTTACATGTTCATTCAACAAAGACCACCATAGTCAGCTTCTGCTGTGAGGAACAGGTGTAAACAGTAGACAGGTGCTAACAGCAGTTTGGCTGAAACTAAAGCATCCACAAAGAACAGGCAGACTTGCAGTTGCTTCAAGGCTGTACAGTTCAGGGAAATCCCGCCCCCAAAGTGAGGAGGAAAGTCATGCAGATGCGGGGAGAACATGCAAACAGAAAGGCAGTACAATTGGAATTCATTTTGTTTTGTGTACAGTATTCCAAGTGTCATTGTTGCGAATATGATATAAAAAAGGCAGTTCTGACCTACATTTTGCTGCTTGCGACAACAGCTGACTTATCCCAGAGCCTCTCATCACTTTGCCTGTTCAGTGGCGACTTGAGAATGTTGATTTTCATTCATTGGAATAGCCTTTTCAAGCTCAGGACCTAATAACCTATTTAAACCTATAACATTTGTAACAACCATGTGTTACATTAGAGATGGTAGATCCTTTTGTTCATGTTCCAATGCTCTTCTATTTCTCCCCACGCTGTTGAATTAATAGTTTGCGCAGTAGAAGAAATCCTGTTGTCACAGGCCAATACTGTAGACCCCTGATAGCGATGAGCCAACACAACATTAGTGGAGACAGAACATACAATGGTCAGTGCTGTTCAAGCAGCAATGTCCCGAATGCTGTGGTATTGTACTAAACTAAGTGGCTTTCTATCCTTTTCTGCTGGTGTTATCTGCGTGAGGTAATGCAATATGTATCAGGCAGATGGCTGTGGCGATAAAGGGCTCTGTGAAATTTTGACTTAAACACAGCAGATTTAATGACCTCAGCACTAACTCGTCTCCGTCGGGTAAATCCTCAGGTCACAAGAGTTCAACCTACTGTGGGCAGAAGGTAGACATGAAATATTGAAGGGAGCTTTGCTGGTTTTCTCTGCTTGATAAACTCTCGGGTTGACACTATGAAAATATTTTGGCTGTCAGCCCAGCCATCCCATTTTAGGAAGCATTTCCTGTTTTCAAACCAGAATACTTGTTCACACCAACCACTGTACAGCTGCTTTTTGGATCCAGACCCTCCCTGTCTGTATTGAGCATTTGTCTCCTCAGGCGTGTGGTGAATAGAGACGTTTTGAATGATTCATGCTGCTTGTTGTGACTGACATGGGCAGTCACTGTTGGGAAAAAGTATTTATTAAAGGCAATGCTACAAAAATATTACTACTACAAAGGGGGGGATTGAGGGCTGGATCTGTTGAGGATTAAACGCATTATATTGAATATTTGAATGCTGATGATGAGTCTGGCTAATAAGTTTAATAGTAACATATATATATTTTCTGCTTTTATAGGAAAGTCTACAACAGCTGGTGATGATGCCTTTGCCGAATGTGCTGGTCCTGGGTCGAAATCCTCTTTCAGGTGAGATTCTTTATGTGTCTATGGACATAAACAGCTATAAAAGTGAATCATGCTCATTCATAGGATGTTATTCTGTCCGCTTCACTGTATAAAACGTATGTCAAACTTAAATGAAGATCATATTAATATTTAAATTCTACTTTGTAAATAGGACCTATTGAAGAACGAAAAACACACTATTTCTGCAGATATTTTGTATTGTATTAGAATAGAGCGGGAGGCACTTTGTTTACGTGCCGTATTATTGAAGTGTTGAATGATTTGTGCCTTTTACTAAACCACTAAATGGGTCTAACCTCTGTTGCTCCATCAGCTGTCTGCATGTCTCACCACAGCCATTGTCATTATGGTGGTTTTCAACACTTTTCCATATTTCTGTGCCACCCTGTAGAAATGGGATGAACTGGAGAATAACCGCCTACTAGGCTTTATTTTACAATTTGATGTTGTCATATTCTTTTACACTTGATATGATTAGAATTCAAGCGACAATCTTCAGACCATAATCCAAATCTCCCTCAGAGAGGAGAGAAAATGCAATAAAGAATGAATTACTGCATCAATGTTTTCACCTAAATTATCTCTATTGGGGATATTGATACAAAATATATATATATTTCTTTATTTGGGGCAGAATCATCTTCAGAGCATATTTCACGCCCCCTTTTTACTTTACTTATTGATTGACAAGGCAGACCCACATTTAGCTTGACTACAGCCCTAATGTATGTTTTTTACAAGCCATCAACTTGTCTTCGATGCACATATTGTTTATCCCAATCAAAAGTATAGAATCTGTTTTGGAGAAAAGTTAGACTGCATTTATTCACATGGTTCATAGTGTTGTGGTCTGAAAGTTAGTACCCTGACTATATACTAAAGTATTTTGCGATTATCAATATTTCCGATTATAGTCACAAATGGATCTTCATGGCCATATCGCGTTTCCCTTTGTTTAAATCTCCTCCTGACCTTGTTCCCGTGTGGGCAGATCCTCCTTCAGTCTGCCCGTCCGACCAGTGGCTCTGTGGTTCAGTAACTGGCAGCTGAAAGTCATTGGCCATGTGGCTTTTATTATGCTCCCATTATGCAGCAGGGGGGTTGTGTGTGTGCGAGTGTGTGTTTGTGGAAGGGGGAGGGTCGTCTTCCAAACAGTTCAATGTGGGAATGGACCGCCGTGCCCCCCAGGCTGCGACTTAACCCTGTTTTGTACACGAGCGCAGTCAAACCCAGAGACACAGGGCGACTTCACATCAGGAAGACTGTACATGCCCTGTTTAGCTAGTGCCACATGCTGCGAAGTATCACACATAATCTTGTCTGATCTTCTGTAAAGCTGCTAACTTTAAATGGCAACGAGACTTAATCATTATTGACCAGTCCTGTGGAATCCGGCGCTTTTATAACAGCTAAGACACGCTTTTAGTTGCTTTTAGTTGTCTTGTATGGGGAGCATTTTATATGGACTGATTGCGTCTGGACGTCGAAAGTTTTTTTTGGTACATTTCAGTATTTTGCCGTGACCTTTACTGAGATATACTTTTATAGCCTAAAGCAGGCGAAATGTATTCACTGGTTGCAATTGTTATTAATGAATACATAAAGTAAGGTCACAAATAATTCCCAGTGCTCCAGGTTATTTAAGCCTTTAGTAAATATTTACCAATGACTTCAGTAGACTCGACTGCATTCACTTTTTATCTATTGATTTATTTTAGAGATTGTATTTCCAATAGTTGGATATTGTTTCGGCGTCATGGACAGTCTCTTGTGGTTATGTGAGAAGAACCCTGTCTCAAAGGGTCAATGACCAACACTTTGAAATGACTCATCACTTTGAATGACATGAAGCTACTCTCCATAATGCTTTGTCACCATGTGTGTCATGGACCAAAGGGGACCTACTTAATCATTACACTTGCAAGCAAATACAATACCTTTTTTTTCTTCTATCCAGACGATGGTATCAAGTCATATCCTCAAATGGAGATTGACAATGGCGGAGCAGGAAAAAGCTTTAGTCAGTGTCCTCATGACCCATTGGTTTCCTGCTGATGGGACGGAGCACAGAGGGAGGAAAGGGGCGAGTATGGGCGACTAGTAGACAGTCAGACTGTGATGAAGGGAGGCAGGAAGTGAAGAGATGACGAGGTTCATGAGTATGTGTTAAATCTTAGTTCTATGTGATTCATTTCAATACTGACAGTATTGAAGTATTGAAGACAAAGTCTTCAGGGTCTGTGATAGAATCCTGCTCCTGAAGAAGTTTCACTCTTTGGAAAATCTCAATCATCTCTTATTTTGTTTGCTACAACTTTGTATATTTGGCAACTTTGTTCATATGTTTTTAAGTCTGGACAATAGATAAATAGATAGATACATATGTTATTGATCAGGTGTCCAGTAGCAGCAGAAACACATCACAAATAAATTGATAATTCTAAAAGTACAAAAGTTAACAAAAGTATTGAGATGCAACAGCACTTTTGGTCACAGCAGCAGAGGTGTAAGCCGCTGGGTGGAGCAAACAAATGAATGTTTTTTTTTCTGGATACAAACTGGATTTGTAACCTGCCATAGAAACGACCATATAGATATTTACATAGATATTACAACTTCAGAAATCATTGACATTATTTGGAAATGTGATTAATTGCACTGCTCCACTTTGCTCAGACTTGTGCAGTGGTTCAGTCTGATGCAAAGGTTGAGCTCCACTGTAGGAATCTCCTCCTTGAAGTCTTTGTTGTAGCTGGGGGCTCCTTGTCTATTTTCAGCCTTCGCTCATGCACCCTTCTCTAGTCTCCTGTCTGCATCAGTGTGTTGCTTTTCCTCTATACTGCTCTCTTCCTATTGTCTGGCTGCTTTTATCTACCTCACTTCCCTGACTTTATAAATTATTTATTCCTTATCTTCCATGCGTTGCCAAGCTAAATCCCTCTGCAGCTATTCAACGCATTGGTTCCTATAGAGTCTTGAACGTGCTGCAAAGCCCTGAAGCAAAGAAAGACATTTTTATCTGACTTTTTCACTTGCTTTTTCTCCATTATATTATTCAGCAGGCGTATGGTGATTTGAAAGTGGTGATTTGACAGTTTTCAGGCTGGCATTGACACTTGTAATTAGCAAAAGCCCACAGATTTGTAAAAGACTTGCATGAAAGCAGAAAGCAATTACAGTAATCGGAATGATTCACAAACTGCTTTCATAGTCTCTACTGGCAGTTTTAATAATATGTTTGGTGCTACTTCAACAGATTCTATGTTTTTACCTCTTGGTTACAGATGTTATTTACAAGTGATATAATATTAATGTATAGCCAGACAAGAAATTGACCTTCTCTCCCCATTCCCCTGGTCTCTATTGATTACGAAATAAATCAGTAGAAATTGAGTTAAACCTAATGAATTGTGGAGCACTGTCTGCCAATAAGACGCTGACACTGTTTTTGACTGATGGGGCTCCCGTAGGAGTTGCCCCGGCTGACTCCATACATTGTGTCAGTATTTTTTTATTTAGAGGTAATTGTTTTCTGTTGAATGATCTCTTGTATGCCATAACTACACTCGCAGTGGGAGACTGAGTGCTGTAGCCCTAAGGGTGTTGTGTATTTTCCGCTACACCTTGCATTAGGTGGTTGTCCCTAATCTGGATTTGTTGTTGGTGTTTGCCCCCTGGGTGTTATAATGAGCAGGTTTATGAAAAAGGCACTATAAAACGTGCTTGCACATTCCATGTCACGTCACGTTTCTCTGTGTAGGAACGGTTTCTGTTCAAATGCGTGCAACTGGTTCTGCTGAGCCTCAGATCCCTGGATGAGCTCAGGCCTGTTGTAGCAGCTGTTTTTGAGTTTCAACATTTTTGACAATATGCCCCAGCATGTGCAGAAAGACAGGAAGTTCTCATTCCAAATGTTGGCACAGGCACAAGAAAATGCTTTTGGAATTTTCTGTAAATAGTTTTCCCTGAGACATTGTTCAGTTGGATCAAATTCACCTGTATTGTCTTCTGGTGAAGCATTTACTTTTTGAAACCATGAATATGAAGAAACAACAAAATGGGAATTCAAATCACAAAACCTTTCCAAATATTTTGCTGTACTGTTAAAAAAGAAATCAACATAGATGGATAGACTGGAACTAAGTTAGTTCCAGTCTATCCATCTCTGTTGAATCTTTTTTGGCACAGTGATGTGTTGTGGTAAATGAGCCTTACATGTGTGAGCTCATATTGATTTTTTGTTGCTTTTTTTTGTCTTTATACAAACGATATAGAGTGTACTATGATTTAATATTGTCGTCTTTGTCAATTCCAGAGCAAGCCTTGGAAGAAATGAAGAAATTGTTGTTGCTGCTATTAGGCTGTGCTGTCCAGGTAAAAGCTTTGTCCTCACTATAGGTCACATAACAAGTATAACCATGATTTAGATTTTTGATGAGTGATGTCACATGAATGTGTTTACAATTGCACCTTTGTTTTCAAGCCGCTAAATGACCAGTAATGATGCTAATTTGGTTTTCTGGTTAAGATAAGAAATAATGACTGCAACACAGATCTAATAGTGGTAAATAGATGGCATTGATAACGTTGGGTGGTTAGTATAATGACTCTATTCAAACTGAGCTAAATCACATTAAACAGCTGCAGTGACCCTCACCAGCTCCATTGTGTGTATGAAACTCTACTCTTATTCAACTTTGGACTTCTTCATGAAATTCATGAAACTAAAAACAGAACACTAGAATAAAGGACTGTATTTTCTCCACAGTGTGAGAAAAAGGAGGAATATATTGAGCGAATCCAGACTTTGGACTTTGACACTAAAGCGGCTATAGCATCCCACATTCAAGAGGTATTTCTGTTTTTAAGTAGTATTATAAAACTCTAACTAGGAAATCCTTTTAAATAATATACTGATTACTTTGTGTTTTTTACAGGTTACTCATAATCAAGAAAATGTAGTTGACATACAGTGGTTGGAAAGTGGAGATGTTCCCTCTGAAGACCTGGACAGCCTCTCCAGAAATTTAGCGTTCCATCTCAAGCACCTGGTGGATGAACGAGATACACAACTTGAGGTAAACGTGTGGAATGGCCTGGGAGAAAATACATGTTTTGTTATAAAATACTTTAAAAAGGCTAATAAAGTGAGGGCTTTGGAGGATGATGTGGAAACTTTTCTCTTCTTTGTCCCGACCGCAGCAAAGCTGCCTCAGGAAGGAAGGGTGAAACTGTAAACTGCGGTGGATCAGGACTCAACGTGTGTTTTGTTTTAATGCAGTAAATGCGTCATGACGCTGGTTTCCAACTCGAAGCAGCTGATGCCCTGGTCTGATACTACCAACTTTGACTATCAGAGTTTAATGGCCTCCAGACCATCACTGCAGCCACTCTCCATTAAAATCTCATTTCCTCTCACAATCATCAGATCAATTGCTCTCAGTAGCAGCATTTTATTGGAACAATCAGGCCATTATGTTCACTAAAAATAAAATGTATTTTAAAAATGTGTTGCCTCCCCCTCTCTCTCTCAGACCATAGTGGAGCTGACCCAGGAAAGGGACTGTGTGCAGTTGTCTCCTCTGGGCCCATGTCCGGCTCAGTCCCCCAACGGCTCCCCCAGTATGAGGCGCACAGAGAGCAGGCAGCACCTCTCTGTGGAGCTCGCCGACGCTAAGGCCCGGATCAGACGCTTGCGACAGGAACTGTGAGTGCAACATAGTCCTTAGTCCTTATTGGACCTGATGTAAACAGGAAATACTGCTCACATCAAGCAGACATGAAGAACTCGGCTTTGAAATAAAATCTAATTTGAGTCTGAACTGGACACCTGTAACAATGAGTCACACAGGAAGAATATTTCGTCCACTTCCTCCAGTCATGCACCAATTCAAACAAATATACATCTGTTACTCTCACTTCTATTAACCGTAAAGAAATGTCATTCAGTTTATTTTTTTGTGTTAACAACAATGCATTCCTGGCAGAACTTTCCGTAACTAATAGAGTATAATTTTCTCTGTGTTGTGTTGTTATTCTGTGCTCCCGGCCACAGGGACGTCTGACCACAGATCACAAATGATCTTTGTCTCTTGAAAGTAGCCTAACCCTTTTTGAAGATTAATTTAGATGTAATGTAACAGCTCTAAGTTTATAAACTAAATGGCATGTGTTCGCTTATAGGTTGCTCGGTCAATGTTCTCTCTTGCTCAGGCTTAAAAGAGTCGGTCTGTCTCAGTTTTCTAAACTCGTGCAGTAGTTTGGTAGTTGTTCTCTTTGGTTTGTTTTTGTGCTGTGTCTCCGAGGTTAAAGTGGAATGGGCCACTGCAGGGGCTCTGTTAGTGATTCATCCTCAATGTTAATGTCCAGGTGGGGAAATGACAACGTAGGAAAAAAGTCACTTCAAAATCACAATTTCCTTAAGGTCAATATTTGGCATATGTTCAGCTTTGTTTTTGTTGGTCTTGAATATCACATGTGTATCTCCAACTCTATTATCACATACATAATAATACACTGTTTACTGTATAATACTAATACTACAATACACTCTAATAATTATTGGTATTATTATCACTATTGGCTCCTCTGACCAACATCAATTATTCACACTCTATTATAAAGATAGATGTTTTGTGAGGACTCAACAAAGGTACACAGTGGTCAAAGACCTGATTACTGTTCCTTGCCGACAGTCAGTCCACCAAAAGGATGGATAGTTTATGTTTATGCTCATGTTAATGACATGTCTGTTTCTCAGCTCCAATGCCTCATATATGAAACATCATGATCTGCCTTTAGTGCCAGCTGCGTCCTAATGAGCCACGCTGAAGTGTACAGGTGTTTCTGAGAAGAAGGGGATAACTGATGAAACAAAGGCAGATGATTGAACATCCTGTCTGCTTCTCAACATTATTAACTGATCTAAAACAACATAATGATTGCTTTTCCTTTTGAAACCCTCCTCAGACTGACTCCTGGAGCGCAGAGGTTTAGTGGTGCTGTGTCGCTCAGTATCTCAGGAATGCACTTTCTCTTCAAAGAACGGCTACAAATCTCTCTTTACACACAATGCATTCTCCCTTTTCTAAAATGTACTCTCCAAGAAATGGCATGATCGTAATGTATTAGAATGTCAAGATATTGGTAATATTTATACAGTATTCAGAATTTTAAAGATAATCAATGATGAAAGAGCTACATTTTTTTTACATGTTTCTGTTCAGAGATATGCAGAAGTACTTTTACAACATAGCTATTCTTGGGCTGCAAATTTAGCTCAAGTGCATCGGTAACAAAAGCAGGTTCAGGCTCTAATATAACACTATACTTGTAACTTTTTTTCTTATACAATTTGTAGTTCCCATTACCTGAGCCCCTGTACTGTAGCCTCAAGCCCAGTGTGGTGTTTGTAAATGTGAAGTTGTTTATCAAGAGAGAAACACACCAGACGTGTCCTAATCACAACCTCTCAAACACGACATGCCCTGCCAAACAGATAATCTAGGTTAGTGGGCTGATCTTTAAGTACTTTTTGACCCATTCCCGTTACCTTAGATGTTCTACAGAAAGTTACTACGGTACATGCACACTCTGAGCCCCCTATAGCACTGTAAAATCATAATTATTGACTGATGGTTGCCTTTTCTCTTGTGTTTCAGAGAGGAGAAGAGTGAGCAGCTCTTGGACACCAGGCAGGAGCTGGAGAACATGGAAGCCGAGCTGAAGAGGGTACAGACAGAGGTAACGTACTCGCCAATATTTGAATCCTTCACGCCAACATTTGAATACTTCACGGCAACATTGGTACTCTACAATACTCCACACCTGCTACCCCCCCCTCCCAGCTCTTTGTTTCCGCAGCGCTGCCAGGCTCTAATCAGCGGCCTTGTGCTTTAGCTCATTATAGGCTATTAGAGCTATCTATAGTCTGGCAGCCACCTCTCATGACTTTTGATTTGAAGTGGGCAGAGGAGGTTAGGCCTGGTGGCGGCTAACTACACGCTATAAACCGGGTTGATGAGTTCACGGTAAAGGGGTCGTGTTTGTGTGTGAGGAGAGCCTTCTAATGCTGTTTGTATTCCAGATAATCTCCCTAATCACGAACGATAAAGTCGTTAACCCACTGGCTCCGAATCATATGTTTAGTTTAGGGCTCATGAGCTGCAATATGTTTCAGTCCAATCACAGCCGTAATAATGATTTATATACTTATAATCTAGACTCCCTTTATCAGAAATATTTTGAACATTTTGAAGCTGGGGTAACTTTTCTCCATAAATAATTAATGGTAAGACAGTTCTGAACAAGTGAGATGTTGTGGAATGATGTGTTAATTTAATTAGTGTTATCTTTTGCAGAATAGTAAAAAAAGAGACCTCCCTGTGAGTCACTAGTTTATGCTTAGGGCTGAAAGCGGAATGTCTGACTGAGGGTTGTCTTCTTTTTCACTTTTTTTGTGAAATCTGTAGAAAAACTGATCTAAAGTTGTGATACATGCATGCAAAAAAATAATACTAACACTGATTTGAGAGCGAGGAACTAGAATTAAATATATTTGTTATATATTTTTTGGTTTGAAAGTCACTGCAGTCTTAATTATCGCTGCCCCCTTTTACATCATTATAACAAAGACATTACAGTAGATTTGTTTTTTAGTTTGTGACAAAATCCCTACCCGATACAGAATCAAACTCAAAAGAACTGAATACTGGCAGTGAAAGCTGAGGGTCTCTTGAATGCAGGACAAATAACTGAAAGAAGCAAACTGATCGTGGTTAACAAAAGATGTAAACGTTGATTAATCACTGTCTCTTTGAATTGGTTTCTTTTGACCATAAGACATTTTCTGTGACAAGATATTTCTGAATATTCTTGATTTGTGTATTTCATTTCTTTTGATTGATCTGCTCTGTTAAACTGCAGAGCTACCAGCTGATGTCCGATGCTCGATCAGCTCGTGCCTACAGAGACGAGCTGGATGCGCTCCGAGAGAAGGCGGCGCGTGTGGACAAACTGGAGAGCGAGCTGAGCCGGTACAAGGAGCGGCTCCATGACATCGACTTCTACAAGGCCAGAGTCGAGGTGCGCTTCTGTAACCAGCGCATGAGTCATTGAATATAATGTGCACATTGTAATAAATATGTGATGTCCAGGAGTTGAAGGAAGACAATCAGATTCTGCTGGAGACAAAGAACATGCTGGAAGAACAACTGGACACGAGCCGCAGCCGTGCAGACAAACATCACCACCGGGAAAAGGAAAACCTCCAGCTCAAGTCAAAGCTGCATGATTTGGAGATGGTATTTCTATTATATTATAATTATTAAAATAGGTACTTTATTACTATCAAGATCAAATTAAAAGTCACATTTATGAACATGAATGAAAATCCTAATAGATAATTGAGTTCAGCTATGAATGTATTGAAAGTGGGCGGAGCTTCATGGTTTTGAAATTCCCATATGACTTTTGAAGAATCCAAATATCAAATGTTTCATCGGCGATGTGGCCAATACTTAAAGGCACTTTATTTGCAGCCCAAAAAAACACAAGTAATTGTAATTACTCGCAGATCACTCATCAGCCATGATTCATATATATGGTTTTTAGATCACAATTTGGATTTTTGGGTTGGGGATATTTACTACTGGCATCAGGAAGCTCCGCCCCAAGCTCCGCTCCATTAAAAGATGATAAGAATTATTTGTTTTTGTTTCAGGAGCGTGACTTGGACCGTAAGCGCATGGAGGAGCTGATGGAGGAGAACCTGGTGCTGGAGATGGCTCAGAAACAGAGTATGGATGAGTCTCTACATCTGGGCTGGGAGCTGGAGCAACTCTCCAAGACGCCAGACCTGAGTGAGGGTAATGCACACCACTGTTTCATCATGTGTCTTTGTTAAGGTAAGCGAGGTGATAAACTGGTTACAGGCAGTGATCCAATCAAGGTTTCAGGAACAATGGCATTACCAGTGTTCAGTCCAGTTCTTGGAGTAAAGCTGCATCATTATCTCTGTTTCATCACTGCCATTGCCAACGTCTGCTTTGTTCTCTCTTCAATAAGACCTGTGATTAATATTCACTGAGGATTCTCTATAGTTTTGTTTGTACAAAAGCAGATTAGCTTAATCTGTAGATCTGGATACAGGTTTTGTACAAGGGGTCTGTTAAAATTGCACTTGGGCCGCAGCTACTTTTATTATAGTAATCATTTAATAGTAGTGTGGACATCTTTGCAAAGAAATTCTACCCCTAAATACTTTGAACTGAAATTCTGTTCTCTAGATCATGGTGTGAATTTCTTTTGCTTCTATTTTTTACTAATACACTTTTTCATGACACAGTCCCTCAGAAGTCTCTGGGAGATGAGGTGAAGGAGCTGACGTCCAGTCGCCTGTTGAAGCTGGAGAAAGACAACCAGACTCTGTTGAAGACCGTGGAGGAGCTCAGAGGAGCCGCAGCTCAGGACTCAACTTCCAAACTTTTCAAAGCAAATCAGGAAAATCTGATGCTGAAGAAGAAGGTAAGAATTCCTTTCATATGTTTGTACAGTATTTAAATTAGAGTCTTCTTTCAAATCCCCCTCCCCAAATACTAATATTTGAGAAATCCCACACACGTAGTGCATGTGTGTGTCTCCCGGGAGCTGTGATCCAAAGCAATGACCTCATCCCATCCCTGTTGCCCCCGAAGATTTACACTGTGGCCCATCACTCCTCTAATATATCAAGCTGCTGGGCGACTTGAGAGCCATTCACCCGGAGTCCGAGCAGAGAGAACAGAAGAAAGGCAGAGAGGGCACATAGAAAGGCAGCCATGGCATAAAGGCAAAGCTATAAATCCCAGCAGACTTTTTCTTTTTTGAACATTGACACCCAAACGCCCCTCGCTAAGAGAAGTCTCTCAGCTATTTTCAGAAGTATAAGCTGCTCCCGGAGCTCTGTGAAGAAAAAGCATTAAATTGTGTTTTCTCTCACAAAGAGTAAATCCAAAGGAAAATTTACTGCTCTGCTTTGGGGCTTTAGGCTTTCCATAAAACTCATTAAAATGGGAATGCAGCTTTTGGTAGTCTGAAACATCAAAACAACATTTGACTGCAGAGTTGGAACAATTATACATGTAAGGAACAAAAAGTCACTGTGTTGTTTATGCGACTCTGGAAAACTGATCTTTAAAAATGTGAAGCATTGACACAGACATATTTGTGTCGCAGCTGGAGCAGCTGCGGACTGAACTTGTGGCTGACAAAGACTCGCTGCAAAGTTCTGAGTCTCTGAACACGGACTTGATGAAGGAAAAGGCTTTACTTGAGAAAACACTGGAGACTCTTCGGGAGAACTCCGAGAGACAGGTACTACACTGTGCTGCTAGATTCATCCTCTTTTACAATCCGATCAACTGTATATTGTACAACACTTCTTTTGTTTTTTGCAACCCAGACTTATTTGATTTATTGTTGTAGCAGCTGTTATTGGTTTGTGTAATTAATTCATTTTGATTTGGCAGACTCGTACACAGTTTATTGATATCATCTTATTGATTTCCCACATTTACTTCCTGTCAGAAAATAGCAATTAAGGCCAATGTCGCTGTGGGCTTTGTCAGTATTAACAATATGTGGAAAGCTTGAGTTGTTGTAACATATTGTGGTGCTGTTGAAGATGAAGGGCCTGGAGCAGGAGAACAAGCACTTGAGTCAGACAGTGACCTCGCTGCGGCAGCGCTGTCAGGTCGGAGCTGAGGCCAGAGTCAAAGACGTGGAGAAGGAGAACAGAGTTCTGCACGAGTCCATCTGTGAGACCTCTGCCAAAGTCAACAAGCTCGAGTTTGAGAGGAAACAATTACGTAAGGCAGATTCTACAAATGACCTGTTCTTTTGTCAGAAAATAATAATAGGTGTTTTTGATAATATATTTACGTTTTAGGAAAGGAACTGGAAGTGATGAAGGAGAAGGGTGAGAGAGCAGAGGAGCTGGAGTCGCAGGTGCGGAAGTTAGAGAGGGAAAATGAAAGTCTGCAAAAGAAGGTGGCCAGTTTGGGGATCACCTGTGATAAGGTCAGTTAAGCTGCTGAATAAAATAATATACAATTTTATATTGAATTATATCGCATTGAAGATGTCTTGCATGTACAGTATTGTACTGTGGGCAATGTAAGTTATCTTTATTAATGTACAGAGCCATGTACCAAAAAAGATACGACCCTAATGTTTGCGCTCGTGTGGATATTGGCAGGTTTTGACATTGGAGAAGGAGAATATGGAGTTAGAGGCTGAAAGTCGTCGTCTGAAGAAGAAGCTGGACACTTTGAAAAACATGGCCTTTCAGTTGGAGGTTTTGGAGAAGGACAATGCTCAAATAGAACAGGAAAATCTGGATCTCCGGCGCACTGCGGAAAACCTGCGATCAGCGGGAGCGAAGGCCGCTCAGCTTGAGGCCGAGAACAGAGAGCTGGAGAGTGAGAAGAGTCAGCTCAAACGCAGCCTGGAGCTCCTCAAAGCCTCCTCCAAGAAGAACGAGCGCTTAGAGGTATGGCCCACTCTCTCGCACAAATACTCAAATAAATTGGTAACAGATCCTTTCTCACATTGAAATTGGCTAAATAGAGATAAAGATAACATTTCTCACATCTATGAAAACATTTCTCACATCTATGGCTCTACTACAGAAATTGTTATAAGATAAAATGTATTAATAGGATTTTTTTTTCCCTCTCATTTTGGTTTTAACGGCCAATTAAAGCTGGGGTACCTAATTTTTAAACTACAAATGGACTAGAAAAATAAAATAAGGCCCATGTAACCAGTTCCTTGTTTCTCCACTCACATTTTCACATGTATTTATTTTTTTTTTGTCAAATTTTTGGTATTTTTCTTCACAAAATGTTACTTTTACAAGACAGTTTTTGTTGGGACAAACTAAATCTATTATTAATTTTAAAAAGTACCCAAGCTTTAAACAACTATATTTTTTACTCACATCCTACGTTGTGATTTTCTTTTATGGGGTCAGTTCTGTCCTGGGAATCCGATAACTAGTTCAGATTCCTAAAATAACCCAGTGCCTCACCCCGCTCTCAGGTGAGTTACCAGGGCCTGGATACCGAGAACCAGCGTTTGCAGAAGGCTTTGGAGAACAGCAGCAAAAAGATCCTGCAACTGGAGGCTGAGCTGCAGGAAGTGGAGACAGAAAATCAGACGATACAACGCAATTTGGAAGAGCTCAAGATTTCAAGTAAACGTCTGGAGCAGCTTGAACAAGAGGTCTGGAACTTTTTTGTTTGAATTTGGCATGAACCGAGACCTAGATTTTTATTCTGATAAGTCATGGCTTGGGGTGAACTCACGGCACCAAATGCAACATAGACACATCCCTTATTCTTTTTATATGACACTAGAGGTTTGGTAGTGTTTTTCATTCCTCAAAACAAATTATCTTTCACCACATATAATATAAGTCATCCTGATGGGTTTATATGACAATTAATATTTACAGTCTATGATAGGACACCATGATGTCCCATACAACCGATAGATCGAAATTGTGGTGGAGGGAAGCTTTTTCCATGTAACTATGGTAACTGTTATATGTCTAGTTTATTGCTTATTTGTCTAATTCTTGGGTTGATTCACATGGAACTGTCCATGTCCAAAAAGTACCAGGTCTTTGTTTCTGTATATATATGTTGTGGCCAGTAGGAACAATTTATTTCCCATAGAGTATTCAGAAATGTAGACGTCTGGAACATGAACACTACCTACTGTTAACATGCTAACATGCTAACCCTTACCAAAACAGCCTTGAAATTATATTGTTAAACTGACTGCAACTGCTCCCCATCTGCTATTTCTCAGAACAAGGTGCTAGAACAAGAAACATCGCAGTTAGAGAAAGACAAGAAGCTTCTGGAAAAAGAGAACAAGCGTTTGAGGCAGCAGGCGGAGATCAAAGACGCCAAACTGGACGATGACAACCAGCGGATCTCTGCGCTGGAGAAGGAGAACCGCACCATGGGCAAAGAGATGATCTTCTTCAGGGACTCGTGCACCAGAGTCAAAGACCTGGAGAAACAGAACAAAGAGCTGGTCAAACAGTGCAGCATCGACAAGAAGACTCTGATGACTCTCAGAGAGGTATCTGAGATTAAGACATCCTTTATTCGTCCTACAGCAGGGAAATGTCAGTGTTGCATCACAAGTTACAGAACAGTAGGAATGAGGAGCACACGGCACCATTAAGTGAACAATAACTATACTAATAAAATGAAACAATATCTAACTCTAGCATCAAAGAACAAGTAGAAAATCTCTATCTTGAACATAATAAATAAGTATGAAATTTGTACATTTGGCAAAATAAGAGGTACTGTAAGTATAAAGTACTGTGTATTCTAGTGCAAGAAATATGTAGTTTTTATGTTTACATCTGCACATGTTAGCAGCAGTACGTCTACATCTGTACATGTTAGCAGCAGTACGTCTACATCTGTACATGTTGGCAGCAGTACGTCTACATCTGTACATGTTAGCAGCAGTACGTCTACATCTGTACATGTTAGCAGCAGTACGTCTACATCTGTACATGTTAGCAGCAGTACGTCTACATCTGTACATGTTAGCAGCAGTACGTCTACATCTGTACATGTTAGCAGCAGTACGTCTACATCTGTACATGTTGGCAGCAGTACGTCTACATCTGTACATGTTAGCAGCAGTACGTCTACATCTGTACATGTTAGCAGCAGTACGTCTACATCTGTACATGTTAGCAGCAGTACGTCTACATCTGTACATGTTGGCAGCAGTACGTCTACATCTGTACATGTTGGCAGCAGTACGTCTACATCTGTACATGTTGGCAGCAGTACGTCTACATCTGTACATGTTGGCAGCAGTACGTCTACATCTGTACATGTTAGCAGCAGTACGTCTACATCTGTACATGTTAGCAGCAGTACGTCTACATCTGTACATGTTAGCAGCAGTACGTCTACATCTGTACATGTTAGCAGCAGTACGTCTACATCTGTACATGTTGGCAGCAGTACGTCTACATCTGTACATGTTAGCAGCAGTACGTCTACATCTGTACATGTTAGCAGCAGTACGTCTACATCTGTACATGTTGGCAGCGTTTAACCTAATCCTATCCTAATCCTAGTTTTTATACAGATTCAGTGTGTTCATTCACTTTTGGCGACTTCAAGGAGCAGCTTTCAATCTCCAAAACAAACTTGTTTAACAGTCAGGCATTTTATGTGAATCAAACAGTGGAGCCCTGAAACCATATTGATTTCAGTAGTCTTCCATCGCTTACAAATATGTAAGAAAAATTGTCCTGGATTCAGGAGCCCTTGTAGCAATTTTGGCATCTAAAAGATTGAGACTTTGAGGAAATGTTTTATGAGTGCTTACTGGATCTTTTAAAAGGTTAAAAAAACAGCCAGGAGTCTATGTGCCTCAGACTTAATGATCTGCTCTTCGAATAGAATAATTAACACATTTTAAAATGAGTACCAATAACAAATGGTGTATTTCACACCTCTCAGGAGCTGGTGAGTGAGAAGCTCCGGACGCAGCAGATGAATAATGATTTGGAGAAACTGACACATGAACTGGAGAAGATCGGACTGAACAAAGAGCGACTGCTGCACGATGAGAGCTCTGACGACAGGTAGTACCACAAACTATGGCCCTGAACTAGATTCAAGCAGTAATTGCAGTCCAACGTTGAATAAAAAAATGTATGAAACATTGTCAAAGCAATACAAATCTTTTGTTCTCAGGTTTAAGCTTTTGGAATCAAAGCTGGAGTCAACTCTGAGGTCGTCTCTGGAAATCAAGGAGGAGAAGATTGCAGCTCTGGAGGCCAGATTGCAGGAGTCTTCAAACCTGAACCAGCAGCTTCGCCAAGAGCTCAAGACGGTTAGTAACATGCGACACACTGCAGACATAATAGTGTTTATATTGAGAACTAGAAGCCTCTCAATAACAAACCTCAAACGCCGCTAACGGCCAACACGCTGTGCTGGAGTCCTTCCCTGCAGTTACAAACATTGAGTGTTCTGGAGGAGAGTACATTATTAATTCACTCACTGCACTTGTATCGCCACTTTATTCATGAGGCGGGAGTCTGTCAGAGGGTGAGGCGGAGGCGAGACTTTCTTCTTCCCTTCAGGGGGTACACACTGTAGCTCAAGCTTTGAGTGGGCTGCCTCTTTACCTGTCAGCAACATTTCCACTCTGTTTCCCCAGGTGTGTGTTCCCTTTGTTCATGAGAGCTTACATAGATATGTATTTGTTTCCAAGGTGAAGAAAAACTATGAGGCTCTGCGACAGAGGGAGGAGGAGGAAAGGATGGTTCTGAGCTCGCCCCCTAAAGGCGGGGATGACCAAAAGTCTGTAAATAAATGGGAGAAAGAAAGTCACGAGGCCACGAGAGAACTGCTGAAGGTGAAAGACCGGCTTATTGAGGTCGAGAGGAATGTAAGTGAATGTCTTCCATCGCTCAAACTTAATGTGGATTCATATGGCTTCTAAATCAACATAATGATGTCTCAATGTCATTGCAGAATGCTACACTGCAGGCGGAAAAAGCAGCTCTGAGGAGCCAGCTCAAACAACTAGAAACTCAGAGCTCAAACCTTCAGGCTCAGATTGTGGCTTTACAAAGACAAACTGCTTCTCTCCAGGAGAATAACACAACACTGCAAACACAGAATGCAAAGCTCCAGGTAATAAACATGATCTAAAACATGTTTTCTGTGTGTAGGCGTTGGTACTGGGCCTGAGGAGGAACACTGTTATAGGAGTAGACAATTCTCACATGATCCACACATCTAAATTCTATGCATTTTTTTCAAGTGAAGGGAAAGCCATGAACAACAAAACTGTTATATTGTTTCATATCTTTGATGTATCAGCATTTTTCTCAGTTATACCCTTTTCACTTCTCCAGGTGGAGAACTCCACGCAGAGCTCCCAGAGTGCCTCTCTCATGGCCCAGAATGCTCAGCTGCAGAGCCAGCAGAGCGGGCTGGAGGGGGAAAAGGAGGGGGCGCAGCGGGAGAAGGAGGAGGTGCGCTCCACGTACGAGCTGCTGCTCCGCGACCACGAGAAACTGGCCGCGCTGCACGATCGACAAGCTGCAGAGTACGAGGCGCTGATCGGCAAACACAGAGGACTGAAGAGCTCACACAAGTGTCTGGATCAACAGCACCGCGACCTGGAAGACAAGTACGACTCAGCCACAGGCACACGGAGAGAAGGGGAACCTTTACTTATGTTGTCTTTTTATCTCCAGGTACAAACAGCTTTTACAAAAGAAGGCCGATCTTGACCAATTAGAACAAAATCTGAAGGAGCAGCAAGATAAAATGGCCTCAGAAAACGAGTCACGCCAAGCAACAGCTGATAAGTGCCGGCTGCTCAAAGACGAAAATGAGAGGTCAGAAAAGTGTTACTTTTAGTCATTCTAATGTACTAACAACAACACGTACTATTGTTATGACATCATCTGCCCTTGTTTCAGGCTCAACACAACATATCAGCAGCTAATGAAGGACAATGAGACTCTGCAGCTCGACCATAAAAATGTAAAAAGTCAATTGAACAGTGCCAAGCTGGACCAGACAAAACTGGAGGCAGAGTTCTCCAAACTGAAGGAGCAGTACCAACAGCTGGACATCACATCCACTAAACTCACCAACCAGTGCGAGGTCCGGGCCCATTAGACCCAGAACTGTCATTATTTTGATCAAAGTATAATTAGTCTTCTGTAAAATAGTGTTTGTGCGTCTGTAGTCAGCTGTGCTTATAGCGACTTAAGACACTTTTATGTTTTGATGTGAAGTCTTTTTGATGTTCAGCTGCTGAGTCAACTCAAAGGAAACCTGGAGGAGGAGAACCGACACCTGTTGGACCAGATCCAGACCCTGATGCTTCAGAACCGCACGCTCCTGGAGCAGACCATGGAGAGCAAGGACCTGTTCCACGTGGAGCAGCGACAATACATGTGAGTGCTGTTTTTTTGGAAGCTAATCTGAAGAAGAGTCTTACATGTGCTCTATTAAACCCAGAGACAAGTTGAATGAGCTGAGGAGACAGAAGGAGAAACTGGAGGAGAAGATAATGGACCAATATAAGTTTTATGACCCATCACCCCCACGCAGGTGCAGTAATCTATCGTATACTTCACTACCTTTTACAATACCATAATGCTTTGCTCTTTCGGCAGTAGCTCGCTGAAGATTATTGAATCATTGCCGTTGCTGTTTTGATTTTGCCGGTTCTGCCCAAGAATGAGAAAAAAAACTATCTAACTACTAATAATAAAATAAATTAATTTAAACAGCACGTTTATGCTCCAAGAACCTTGTTGTTGGTGTTCCAATGATCTTCAGCTGTGATCATATGCAGTCGTACACATGTGCAAAGTAGCAGATTCTTTTGTCAGTGGAAATGAGCGACGGATGGCCCCTTGAATGCTGTTATTTTTTTCCATTTTGAGCAAATGTTTATTGAAAATGTTTTGAACAAATACTAGATTTTTTTTACTTTGAATGTGTCGCTCTCTTTACAGGCGTGGAAACTGGATCGCCCTGAAAATGAGGAAGCTGATCAAACCAAAGAGGGAAAGGATGCGCTCGCTGACCCTGACTCCATCCCGGTCAGAGTCTGGTGACGGCCTGGCGCTGCCTCCTGACAGTCAGGACAGCTCCTCTATCGGCTCCGGCTCCAACTCCCTGGACGACCCGCTCACACAGAAGAGGAGCAACAGTGAGTAACTTCATGCACAAATATGACGGGTTGCGTTCATGTTGTAGAATTCTATTTCATTTGGAGGGCAGGTAATGATACAACTCTTGAAGACATTTTGAGAAAGAAAATATCCAAATCTTTTCTCAGATTATTATTTGATAGTGACTAATTACACAAACCTTGTCATATCATTCTCATGTCTGAAATTACTTTCTACTGGTCAACGTCATGTGGAACTTGTAACAGTTCTTCTTTCATGTGGATTGGCCCAGAAATGACAGAGAAATATAACAACAATTTGAAGTCTGACTTTTGACACTTAACATTGTTACCAGAAAAGGGTTATAATAGTTGTGATGTCACATGAACGCAACCTATAAAGCGATGAACTCGACGAGCAAGAAAATCCTCAAATCTCCCGATCGTTGGCGCCTCGTGAGTTTGTGGTGGCGCGGACACGTCCTAACTGCTCCTGTGCTTCTCTTTCATAAGGGAGGAGAGGGCAGCAGCCTCATGCCCCGGTGCAGGGGGCCTCCAATGGTATGAGTTTGGATGGGGCTTCTGACCCCTCGTTCGAATCTTTCGGGGCATGTTTTCGTGAGTCCATTATCATTGTCAGTGGTCATAGTTTTGCTTTCCACTGTACTGTGACGCAAAGTTGACCCGCTTTAGATGTGTTTCCATTGAGAGTCGAGGCATTATTGTGTTGTAAATGTTTGCACAGATGAGCTGCACATAGTACTGTGGGTATTAAAAGGTGCAATAGAGTTTAGTTACGTTATTTTTTAGTTTTTATCTTACATTTGCTGTCCCATAGTTGTGTTTTAATGGATATAAAACACTTAAAGAGCGACTAAACACCTGTGCCCAGCCTTGCTCCGCCCACATGAAGATTTGAAAATTTTCTCTAAAAAGGGCGTTGCCTGGAGGACCAAGGGACAAGAAGGGGGGCTTAGAGTTGGGCGTGGTCTGGGCTGTGATTGACAGCTCACTTGTCACACAAAAAAAAAAAAGACAGTAGTCATTGCTGCTTAAAGCAATAGTTTACAGACCAGAAAGTCTCATTCCACCCTTGTTTACACACTAAGATAATTGAAAAGCTACACACCTGAACCTAATCACACTCAATAATCTCAGAATGACTCATGTAATTTAATTTTAATCCACTAGATGGCGCCAGAATACTCCAAACTTCAGCTGGGGCGTGTGTGAGAGTTGAATGGGTTCACATCACTGGCTCTGACAGACTGACGTCACACAAAACAACTGATGTCATAGAGAACTTCAGAGTCAATGGAGAGGCCAGAACCAAATTCAAATGTAGTACCACCAAAAAGGTGGAGAGGGCGCCACACAGACGTTTTTTGGCTCAAAAGTGATATTTTATCTAATTTGAACTAAAATGTCAAAAACATGACCAGGATATGTAGACAGCACTACAATAAACATACTTATGCAATTTATGAGTTAAAAAAAGTTGATTTGGTGTTTAGTCGCTCTTTAAGTTTAAATGGTCTCACGGCTGAAAAATTGGTCCAAATATTTCATTGTGTTTTTTTTGTTTTTTATTTTTTTTCTTGCACCCTTTAATAGTGCACATCCTCCTTGTTTCATCCAGTTGTGGTGCAAATGTGGCGTTCTAAAAAGCAGTGATTCAGGAAACATCCCTCATGGTTCATTCCCATTGGGCTGTTGATGTGTGTTGTTTGCGTGCCTAAAGTAAAGATGACTGGATGTGATGTTTTTCTAATTGATAAAACGATTGTATCTGTATTGACCACGTTTTACACAAATTCAGGTGTTTTCCCCGTTTCCCCCGTCAGACTTCTCATAATAAAACCATATCCCTCTGTTCTGACCCAATTTTCTTTTATTTTCTCCTCCCACCTCGTCCTTCTCCCTGCACCCTGTTTGTCTCCTGCTTCACATTGGCAGCTCTAAAAAGGTTGCCTTTCATGAGGAACAGATCCAAGGACAAAGACAAGGCCAAGGCCATCTACCGTCGCTCTATGTGTAAGACCTCCGTTAGCCGCTAGAGCTAGTTGTCCTCCGCCGCTTTTCCTTCTTCTCTATCACTCTGGGAGAAACATAAAAGGAATGGTCACTGAAGCCAGAGAAGTGTGAGAGAAAGCAACATCCCAAATCTAATTGCTGTTTTCTTTATATTATAATTATTTAACTTTATTTGTGGACATGTTTGTGGCGTCTGGCCCGGCTGCTCATTGATGCCTTCAGTGACCAATTCTTGGCTTTTTCGTCCTAGGACACTGTAGTGAGTTGAGCTTGCTGCCTTCACTTGGATAAGACACACTGTCACTGACCCATAAATCCCCTCTTAGCATTCTGCTCTTTTTATTAAGGTTAAGGTTGATCTTTATCAATAATAAGTGTTGTACTTCTAGTTTGTGGTGTGGCCATAACAAATGAAAGGCTGTATGTGTGCGTTTGTCTATGCTCGTGTGTGTGCGTTTGTCAATGTCTGTGCGTGCTTGTGTGTGTTTTTGTGTGCGTTTGTCTCTGTGTATGTGTGTGTGTGTTTGTTTGTGCGTTTGTATGTGTGTGTTTGTGTGTGCGTTTGTCTGTGTGTGTGTGTGTGTGCGTGCCTGGGTCTGCCTTTCATGTGCCTGCAGTGTGTGTGTGTGTGTGTGTTTGTCCCACACAGGACACAGCATGACTTTTAAAAATCATCGCTGTATTGATCGCTGCCACGCTTCACTCTCCTCGAATGACTTGAAAAGAGACTGGATTTTCTGATGTCTGCCATCTGATATTATTCTGCTCATAATGAATTCTGGCTCCTCTTCGGCTCTGGTTGTTGATGCTGCTGCATGCATTCATGCATTCATGTATTCATGTATTCATGCTTTAATGTTATGTTTTCATCTGTTTCTTAGACATCGTGAATTTGACCTGTGGCCTGCAACACAGACTATTGCAATAAGTCTCTGGTCTCAAAGCACTTTGTCTAATAAACTTTCAATGTGTGCTACAATAGTTAATATAAAACAGGTTCCCTAAAGCATAAATATGGCAAGAACTAATATTTATTTATGTTTAATACAGGAGAACGTTCAACTGTGAATTGCAAAGTTTCAATTTCAATTACAACTTGGATGGGTTTTCTTGATTACAGATGATAAAATCTAGTATAAATATGCCATATACAAAGATTCTTACAGAAATATTGATATTTCATGTGATTATGCTCTCCACAACGATGCATTTTTAAACCTGTTAATCATGCTGCATGAGGCACCTGTACGTAAAGACTGAATATGGTTAAAACACTTCTGTACTGTATTTGCTCTGTAATCTGTGTCTAATTATGTGTCATTGGTTGGTGCAGCCATGAATGACCTGCTGCAGACCATGGCAGTAGCAGGAGGACCAGAGGCCCAGTGGGCTCTGAGCATTGACCACCTGGACGGTGGGGAGCCCCTGGACTCTACCGGCTCCACGCGGCGCAATGGACAGAGATTAAAAGAACTGGCCTTATCCACCAACGCCATCGACTGTGAGGCCCTGACACTGCCCTCTTCAGGCCGCAGCAAGCTCCGGATCAGAGTCAAAGGTGGGAGTTGATCAAAAGGGCTGTTGAGACAAGCTATAGGCTCCTTGCACTTGTATATTTATAATGTTCTTTTGATACAGACAATGCGTCCTGTGAGGATGTGGCAGGCTCCGACGATCCCAAGAGTCAAGGTAGGACATGGCTTTTACTGTAGCACTTTTAATTCAAACAGCAATAGATGACCTTTTTTAGAAGGAGCGAGCAACTCTTCCCACCCAAAAAGTGTCCTCGGATTATTCATCATTGTCCTGCAGCTATTATCTTTTTGGACTCTTTTGTTCCAGCTGATCTTGTGTGAAAAGCCGTTCTTAGTTATCAGGCTTCAGCGGAAATAGCTTTGCCTCAATTCCAGGCTTCACAGCAATATTGAGGGCAGTAGCTCTTAATCAGTTCACTGTATTTTTGCCACCAGAGTAAAAATGACCCAGATATGTCCATTCATTGCTTACCACATGAAATGACTCGGTTTCTTTTAGGTTAGACTCCTGTAACAACAACATTACTTGATATATGAGTAATGAGTTCCCAGAATGCACACAGTGAACTCAATACCTTGTCCATCAGAGCCCATCCCAGTGGCTCTCAGAGGAAGCTGCTCATCCCTCAGCACTTAGCACTGACTAGACGTGAGGTCAGGACTCGTGCGTTTTGCCATGTCAGAAAGGCGTCAGGTGCACATTGATTCTGTCCCCTGCTGCAAGTCTCTGAGCTCAGATACAATTAGTTTTGTGGCTTCTGTTTGCAGTATAGTTGCATTATTTTTGGCTGTGTCTATTTTCTTTAGACTTGAGCGTGGTGTGCAGAGTGCCCTGTAGCATCTGCAGTAAGTGACCACTGCTTTCTCTGGCACTGAACTTCACTGGGCATTAGTCTACAACGTTCTCTCATTTTGTCTGTTTCACTGGCACGATGGTTCAGATTGAGGTTTTCAGTGTCTCTGCTGGCAGTGTCCTCGTTGTTTCTGAGCTGAGCCTGGCGCTGAGCCACTCCTCTGTCCGTGTCTTTCCTGGGCCATCTGCTGCCCCAGTGGGTGGCGTCACTTCAAACTGCCCCTTTGTGTTTATTGTGATAATACCTCTAACTGTAAACCCTCTATAACCTGTGTGTTGTCAGCCTCCAGACCCTCCAGTCTCCATAGCAACAGGACCAGTAGTAATAGTAACAATAACTCGCACCTCACCTCTTCCCTGGAGCCCAAAGGTAATCACCTCCCCACCTTTCCCCTCCCTGTCTTTATAAAGCATGTGCGATCTCACATTGTATAACTCTCGGACATTCTAGAAATCTTTTAAACTACATTTAATTCCCCGTCCTTACTTCTGTACATACTATTTATGTTTTTTTCAGTGTAGATCATTGTAAAATAAGTGCTATTGTATTACAGGCACTTTGAATGGCACCCTGAGCCGGCCTCATAGTGAGAGCAGTGGAGAGTTCAGTCTGAGCCTGGACCAGGATGTGTGGTCCAGCAGTGGCAGCAGTCCTGTTCAACAGCCCTCTCTCTCGCGGTCCTCCCACCAGAGCCCTATGCAGGTGCGGAGGTCTCTGGACCCCACATCCATAGGTGGTCTGAGTCAAACCCAGATCAGGAAGAACGGCTCCCCCGGCAGCGAGGTGGTGTCCCTGCAGCAGTTCCTTGATGAGGGCATTGACCCCACAGAGGTGAGTATGGAGATATTTGAATAGATATCTGCAGATGTCAGATCTACAGATGTAAATGTCTAATAAAGGTTTATCTTATCTTATCTTAAAACCACATGTGCTTTGTGCATCTGCAGTCTGGCAGTCAGGAGAACCTCACGGTTGATTCTCCACGCCTCTCCGCTTCCTCTGATCATGGCGTGAAAGAGCGCCCTGCCACAAAAAGCCGGGGCATCCTTCGCTCTGCGAGTGGTCGAGCAGCTCCTGTGAGTTCTGATCGCCCTCCCAGATCTTCTGCTCAGCCAGGACGTCCGCTACTGCGGAAGGCAGAGAGCACCCGAGTGAGGGGCAGCGTTCCGCGCTCCAACCTGTCCACTCAGGCCAAAGCCTCGTCTGTGTGCGAGCGCCTGGACACAGCCTCCGCTACTCTGCCCCGAGCCAGCAGTGTCATCTCTACGGCCGAAGGCACCACGCGGCGCACCAGTATCCATGACATGCTGTCCAAGGACAACAGACAGCCCGTGTCTGTGGACGCATCCCCTCCTACAGTGGTCACTAAGGCTGGACTACGCTCCCAGCCCACCCCCAGTGAGTACCATCCCCATAGCAGCGCTGCCCCGCTGCCTAAGTCCCTGAGCTTACCCTGCCACAGCCTGGACGACAGCCTAGAGTCCCTCCTGGGCCCTTCCTTCACTGTGGAGTCTGTGTTCATGGACTCCATCTTTAGTGAGTCCTCTGCTAAAAACCTGCCTTTCCTGTCCCTGAATCCCACTTTAGTCAGTAACATAAGTGGTGTCCCCAATACCCATTCCAGCTCCATGTCCCTCAGCACTGGCCCTGCCCCCAGCCAAGGGTTTGAGCAGGGCAATAGTTCAGACGAGCCTTTAAGCCCTGAGGACCAGTCGCTGTGGTACGAGTACGGCTGTGTGTAACACTCGGAAACACTGATGCATGATGGTCACTGTTGGGCTTCTGTTGGATTGGGACTGTCACTTCCCTGTTTTGTCTTCTTCAGTTGGGAATCATTTTGTGTCCGGCTTTTACCATTGTATTTCCCTTTTAAACGAGTTCACAGAGCAGCATGCTGTGCAGGGCTTTCTCTGGTGTATGGAAGTCTTTGTGAGGTGTCACTTCAGCTCATCTTTGCATTTTATTCCAGAAGGTCTGGCAAAGCAAAATGCGGTCTTTTTGTTATTTTTTTGTATCTCACACTCGAAGCATTTGTTTCACTTAACGGCATGGCTTTGTCATGTTCAAAAGTCATTTTGATTTTGAAATCAAAATGGAGTTCATTTTCTGGATGTTTTTCTACTGTCAATGTTACACACTATTTGTCTTGTCTTGGTGAACGTTTCATTGGGTGATTACGGCGCCAATACTTCATTCCCAAAATCCCAAAATGATATTTTAAAAAGTCAAATTACAATTTGATAAATTATGTTTTGGAAATGAAGTATGATTGGAATTATGACTTAAGAAAAAGCTTTGGTTAATGTAAAGTGATTATATTTGAGATTTGTCTTGTACAGATTATTGTAAACATTTATTTATATTCTAATGACGAGCACTGCTTTGTGTGTCAATGCTAGAAGTATTTTTAGTTTTCTTATTTATTTTATCATTACTTCAGCCTCTTGGTTTATATTGTAGCCTACCTACTTTGGTGCGCATGTAACGTGATGGTTGCCTTTGTCCTGCAGATGTCGAGGGCAGAAAGTCTAAAAGTCGGAGCGGGGAGCCCCAGTCAGGCTGCTAACCCCGCCCCGCCGTCTCGTGTGCGCGCTCATGCTGAGCGTGTGGTGAGTTTGGCCCAGGGGGAGGGGCCTGAGGGTGGGGGTGGCCTGTCTCCATGGGAACCTTAAACATGGTGTAACAGATGTCATCCATCCTGCTTCTGTAAACTGCGTGGCCCTCACTGTCTCTGTCTGTCGCCTCCTGTCCTGAGCCTGATGGGACAGGCCAGCATGGCATATGGGCCCCGTGCACCACATCGTCTCATTGGTCAACCCTTTGCCTCTAAATATCCCTTAAACCTCAGCTGTCCGGGTCATTCCCTCCCGCTGCTTGACAAGGTGACATTCCCCTGTGTTCCTGAGGGTGACATTACAAGTAGCCTCTTTGTCCTCAGAGCTGCTTCCTGCCCCTGCATGGTGACCATCCTGCAAACCCCTCCTCCTCTGACACTGCACGTAACTCCAGGATTCTATCCCCTTTCTAATCTTTTACATTACTCAAATGATCTTGTGTTCTTTTTTTCTTGGTCTTATTTTTCCATCTTTTCTCTCCTTCTTGCTTGCCTGGAATCTAAACACTAGGTGGCCTTGGAGCTGTGTGTTGAAGATTTATAAACTCCATTGAGAAGATTGTATGTCCAGGTTTTGTATGTAAACACAAAGTAGAGAAAAGTTCTTCCTTCTCTGTTGTTTTTGTTTTTTCCTTGAATCAAGGAAACTGTGGAAAGGCGCTGAATAAATCACAGTAACTGGTGCTTTGTAAAGTGAGGCGATTGTCTGACTTTATATGTTACATGCACTAAAAGGTTCAACAGCCAAACGGATGATGATCGGAACTTGGATGTTCTGCTCTTAAGCCATAGACTGTAACCATCCAGTTTGGCACTAATGTTTGAAAAGCATGATGGCACAAACCTTTGCTCATAATGAACAATCAGTCTGCATGGAGCAATCAAAGTCAATCACATTCCCAGAGTCGAGGACATTCGGAAGGTCTTTTGGAAGGAAAGCCATGGCTTGTGATTGGTCTGATTTTACGCTTAAGACTCAATGGACAAACACTACATGACATTAATATTCCATAAAATTGTCTTTCTGGTAACTACCTTCACATTCCTGAGACGGGTTCAGTCGGTCTTAAGTAAAAGCACAGATCATCATCGTACAGGGCGACATCCTGCCCAATGCAGTGACATGTTTTCTTCTGTTGCAATTTTGCAAGAAATCCCTTGATATTATTAAAATCAAATGCAAAACAATTGTGCCGTGTTTTGTTTGAAATGGAATTTTGAACATTGTGCTGCAGAGCCATTATCACCATTCAGACATTGTTTTAATTACTTTTATTAACTTGAATGGTCATGCAAAAAAATAAAGATAAAAATCCAGCATCCATTTTAAAACTGAGACACATGTAACCCTATGATTTCAAAGTACAGGGAACATACAAGCTAAGGCTTTTGCTAATCTTAACGCATTTCATGTGAGATACTTAAGACATCTCAAACAGAGCCATATCAGGATGCAAGGAACATAGATTTTCCATTTTTATCAAGTAGACAGTGAAAAGACATGCATAATCCTTTCCCTTTGTAAAACTCCGGAACATTTCACCATGATTTATAAATTCTGGTCCCCATTAAAATTTACTCTTGCCAAAGTATTTGGACAGTGTATAGATCACAAAGTGATCATTAATAAATTGGTGTGTAGATTTGGTCATAATCTTATATACAACTGCGACAAAGCGCATACCCTGTGCGTGCAAAAGTTTTGGTCAGAGCAAACATTTGCAGAAATGAGACGGCAACAAGCAAAATGGAATGGAGAAAAATCAAGCAATAGTTTTAGATGTTTATATTAATCAGAGGGATATCTGTTTATAGGACATATGTGGACTCACTGGCGTCAGACTACACAAAATCTGTTTTTTCATGCCTTGAAATAAAGAATGGGTATAGTTTTAAATTGGTCCGAATACTTTGGCATAGCCAGATCGCCCTTGTTCCCTTAGATCAGTGTCTCCCAAAGTGGGGTCCGCGGCCCCCTGGTGGGCCACGAGGGTACTGCAGGGGGGCCGCGGGAGGTCATAAAAAAAATAAAAAAATAATATAATTATTTAATGTTAAATTTATAATGTTTGTTTGTAATATTAAAATATTTGTGTTCATTATTTGACTTGAATAATCCACTGTAATCATTTTTGTATTACAATGTTTGTAGCAGAGGCTATTTCCCCAAAATAAAATGACCAGAAGAGCCTATTCTTAATGTTGTCTTCTTGGTTATTATTTTGGGGGGCCACGCAGACCCGTCAGATTTTTAAGGGGGCCTCGGTGTTACTGAGTTTGGGAATGGCTGCCTTAGATGGATCAGGCCATAACCAGGTTTACAATTACATCGTTTTCAAATGACAAAATGTAGATCGTCCTGGCAGGTCAGAATGTTCCCATTGAGAAAAACAACCGATTTGTACTTGTTCCCAAACACAACTCTGGGCACGTGTTCAACACACCTGGACCACTGTCCACAACGTAAACACATATGTTTAAGTCTTTTTAAAATATGGCCAAGTTGTGTTTCTGAAAAGAGCTGTCTGTAAAATGGGCACACGTAAAATGTACTATTGAAGTCACTAAAGTCACTAATCTACAACACTGAAAAAATATAAAGATATGCTAGTTTTCTTTTAAAGGGAAGTGTTAATAATGTGTGCTTTTATGTTTTTACATCTTTATTTGACTGAGACTGAAGTGGGAGTCTATCCCCTTCAGTTACCACAAACTTACAAGGACCTGGGACAAAGACTAAGTATTTTGATTTCCCAAAGGTCCCTTTTCCATCCAAAATGTGCCATTTTTAAATTAAATTAAAGCCCACTGTGGTGCATTCCTTTAAAAAACATGCTCCAAAAGTGCTGAGACAGGACAGTTATACATCTAAACACGGAACAGAGGCATACAGGAAACACCATCAGAATCAGACACAGGACAGAAACCTGGACTATGTTGGGTCAGACAGAATATGAGGCAAGATGAGCATCTGATGCTGCAGAAAAGTCCTCATGTCTGATGATCCACAGAACAAGCACAAGGTCAAAAGTAAAACATGCTCTACATAAAAAAATACACGTAGAACCAAATAAGGAGAAATGTCTTAACAGCAAAAACTGACATTTAGATATTACTTCTGTCAGGAGAGATGAAGATCAGCCTTTTCTGCTCTTTCAAATCAGTCATGAGTTGTATCACTCCCTTTAAACATGTGGACATTGGGGTAGTGTGTGCATGCATTTCTGTATTTACACCCAGGGACACACAAACTGACAAGAAAAACTGCCACACTTGCATGCTCCCTTCCCTTTCTATATTCTTCACAATAAATGTTTTTTCCTTTTTTGTTAAATAAAATCCCTCTTGTAAAAAAAAAGAAAATTACAATTCAATGTGTACATAAGAAGACAAAGACAAGTAAAAAACAAATAAAAAAGATACCCCCTGCATTACAACTATCCAATGATATGGTTATAAGTAACTATTCCATAAACAATAGTTCCACAGTGTGACGCCACACAGTCCATCTCACTACTACAGTAAGTGTGGGTGCATCTCGCAGTAAAACCTATATTCTTGTGTTTATATAGATATAATACTTTCAGAGTGGGTGAAGTAAAAGGCGGCCATAGGAGAACAGAGCCACAGCGCCTCCGTGTGGCCGTTTGAAACATGCACCATCTGCAGGCCGTCCAGGCTGAAAACTATCAGCTACTGAGGTTGGACTGGAACTGTGTTCTTTCAAAACAAGCTTTTGAAGAAGACTTAGATTTTGTAGACTATTTTTCTATTTCTTTTTCATGTTTTTGTCCCTCTTTTGTGAATGATACAACTTTCCAAGAGGCCTCAACCGCTTTCCTCGGTTCCAGGCTCCAATCCGACAATGGAGAATAAATGCTCCAAATAAATTTGTGTTCAGGAAAAGCTGTGGAAAAGGTAAAGTTGGTGAAGTTAGTAAAGTCTCTTTGTAAACTGCCCACTTGCCTCAGGTCATTCCTATAGTACCTGTGCCTGGGCTTCACTGCAGAGGAGCGGCCGGGGCGCCTGAACAGTGGAAGTGCACGTTGAGCCACTTGGCGTCGCGCCGGTGCCACACCCGAGTCTCCTCTGACTGACAGGAGCGCGGGCGGCCCTGCGCGTCCATGTACTGCGTCAGGCGGATGTACGCGATGCATGCCGCTTCTTCTCCAATCAGGTGCACGTGAGGGTTCAGGATTGTGGTGTGCACCGGCTTACTGTTTTTACTTAGCACTAGGAACACAACATTGTTAGGAAGCATGTGCAATGACCTACATTAAAATAAACATGATAACTCACAGTTTTCAAAGTAGAACTTGTGAAAGTCCATGCCTTCTACAAGGTTTCCCAGCGCCTCTGGTTCGAACGAGGTCAAACCTGGGTCACATATTCTCCTGACGAACAGAAAAAACAAGAGGAAGAGTCAGTAACTCAGACTCATTTAATTTTGGAAGATCCATTATGTTTTCATTTTCTTGGCATTTCATTATAATCCATAACTCTAGACAGACTGATTAGCCACGTCATGTCAAATTTAGAAATTCAAAATCATACTTTGATAATCACAACAGTTCATGGGACAAAGCAGAGGGACACCATAAGACTAATGAAACCGTAGTATTTATAGTATATATTGGTGTAGTATGTCGCCAGGCTGCAACCAAACGGACCAGCGGTTTCTGCCATGTTGCACACGTTCTATTGGAAATTAATGGAGAAGCAGCGCCATCACTCCGCGTTTCAAGCGCATATGTTGTGATAGTGGTAACTTTACATGAGTCATGTCATTGGAACTGGCACCCCAAACTCAGTATGTCTCCAGGTCCACAGGGTTTGTGATTAAAGATTAAATCAACCTTACGTCACTAGAATATAAAATATCCTATTGCATATTAATTCGATATTCAAGCAATTCAATTGTAAAACTTACGTGTATGCCTCAAAATCTCCATTGTTGATTGCTTCAATCAGCTGCTCAGTCATTTTTATTATCTCTTGTTTACGAGCTGGAATTACAAAACAGCAGAAATGTATGTCATTGTGTTTTTAAAGGATGTCAACATTCATCTGCTCAAGTTCTAAAGTATTCATTTGCACAGCGTCTCGACAGTCTACCCTTCAAAGAACATTCGGCTTCACCCAGAAATAGAATAAAACCAAGCTGCAAGTCTAAGAAAAGCAGTGTCCACACTCAGAATGCAGAGAGCACATACTGTTGATGAGCAGCATCGCTCTGAACTACCTCCTGCTCTGACATCGCCTTCAACAGACTACACACCACTCTGAAGAAATAATCATAGTAACAGAAATGTGAGCTGGTGCAACGGCCACCAGATGGTAGCAAAGGTCAAGTGAATGCTCAAGTGAAAATGACCCACCACAGTGATTAAAAAATACCCTAAATTAAGACCCTTTTAGACCCTAATTTAGCTAATTTTTCCTTCTACTTTTAATGATTGTGGCGGGTCAAAGATTGCACAAGGGTTAAAGAGTTCACAAGCTGCGATCTTGAGAGTGAAAGAGGAAGGGCACACAGAGGAGGGTCTTTGGTGGAACTTACAGGAGACATGGACCACAGCGGCAGCAGTGGACAGGACTCTGTCTGTGGTGGGACTCTGAGGACCCTCCTCAATGGTGCTGCTTTGACTCAAGCCTGTGCTGTCAGCGCTCTCGCAAACTAAGGCCACACAAGATCACAACCACATATTCTGCACACTTTGTCTTCCAAACGTTAAGTCAAACAGGTAAATAAACTGGGATGATATCGGAAATATTCCTCACACAACGGTCACACAAGCAGCAAAACCTTCCATACTGTAATAGGCTGATCCTCAAGACGCCATAAAAACCAACGCAGAGCTGGACTCACTAAATGGATTAACAGTTTTCTGGAGCTCTTCTCGTTTGCTTTGTCCCATGTTTGAACTCGGCGCCGACCTTCCTTAATTATCAGCTTTAAAGTTCACGCACAACACGCACCACAAAACATGCATTATCTGTGAGTGCAGATTACACATGCAGAGAAGGTGAGGTTTGACAAGTACCTTTCCTACCTTTCATGTCCTCCTCTTCTGCGTTGTTACAGCTCTCGGTTGAGCCCTGTCGAGAATCACACAGGGGAAAAAATAGGGACAAATGGCTTTAAATACATTTCAAAAATAATAAATAAAAAAAGACTATATGAATTCACTCCAAATGATGAACAAAAATGTAAAGAGGAGCACAGCCAGTACGCACAGCAGAAAGGGTTGTGGTTGCAAAGGTATTGTTATTTTGGAAAGTGTGGGAGGAAAGTTAATTATGTTTCCTCATTTTATGTGAACTCAATGTATTCATATTTGAAAAGTATATTTTCGGTACAAAGAAATGTGAACCCAGCCGCATACAGCTTTATAATGTCAGTTTTTAATTTTCAATGAGGCAGTAAAATTAGCCATAAGAATGCAGTATTGTGATAATAAATTAGTAATGCGGTATCCAGCGCCCCCTACAGGTGCAAGTACTGGCCGGCGGACCATGGGAGGGAGGGTCTTACCTTGGTCCCGTCAGCCGGGTTGTGCACAACAGTTGTCTGGGCTTCCTGGGGAGGGTAGGCAGGATACACTTTATCATGCGGGGAAGGGTAGCAAACCGACCACACAGGGAATTGCTCAGGAAATACCAACGCACAGTATTCCATGACTTCACACAGACAGACGATGTACACACAAAACAGAACACTGTACAAATGGTGCTGAAGAGTCAGGCTGCCGGTGATGAGGTCAGTGCTTTAAATCCTCATGAATGAAGCTGAACTGTCGTCGACCAGACAGAGGAGGAGCAATTTGATTTACTTTATGTTGTACGAAAGGACACACTGCAATCAGAATCTGCAGTGTATTGACCATTGTACAAATAGACAATAAAATATATACTAAGAGCCAGGTCTATTAAACATAAAGTCTTAACCACAACAGATCCTTGAAAAAACCGAGGAAATTATTTCTATTGTGTGATTATTTACAACAGTTAAAGCGGAAATTCAGCTGTTGCCATTGCTCTTCCTCAGTCACGAGGGCCCAAACACAATTTGGCACAGGACGTCTCAGAGCGGTAAAAACATTAGTCCACATTCCACATCTTAGTCAAGTGAATCCTGAGAGAGCGTGCAGCCACAGCTTTTATCTGTCAAACTGTTTAAGGCGTCATGTACAGTGGATGCTGGAAGTCTAAAAACATATATACAATTTATTCATGTTTTGTCTGAAATAAAAAATCTGAATAATTCGTCATTACTTTCTACAAAGTCCGAAAAATAGAAATATTGTTAACAAAACTTACATAACCTAATATTTTTACAAAGGGCGACTTCCAGTTTCTACTGTTCATAAGCAGTGTATTGTATTCAAATGTTAAAAGTGTAATTTTCCTGATTTGACAAATGTATTCGAGGCCGCAGACTCATGGATCACTTCTCAATCAACAGTCTCATTATGGCTTGTGCTTTATCCATGCATCTTTGCACGTGTACATTCTAATATTAGCACTGCGAGTGTTGCTTTGCTGTGCTCATTTCCATGGCAGCCCTGTCCCTCTTCAGAGACGGGGGTGACAGTCTCAGTCCTGCGAGGAGTCACAAGGATGTGATTGAGGTGTCGGCAGATTGCAAATGAAAGCTATTTCTGCAGCTGTCAGCGCCTCAGACCGTGTGGATATACAAACATGTCAATAAGAGGTCTGGGTAAAACACAAGCCCAAAGCGATCACCACCATCACAGTCAACCAGCACCCCATCGTTCACACAAGTCAAAAACCACCTCCGGCTAATCAAGTCCGTGTTAGAAACAGAAGCAGGCGGGCGGAGGAGCGTGGACTATTACGGGATAAACTCACAAACTGAAAATGGTCAAAAAGGTCAAGTGGGTGACAGAAGTAGATGAAATGGATAGCAGTTAAAGCAATGTGAGAGAAACCAAAAAAGCTGAGGTACCATTGGAGCTGAAGATGACATGCTGCTGTCTTTGGTGCTGATGCTGCTTACTACACTGTTTTTACTGTTTCCCTGTGACTGGGGCAAAGAAACACACCATAAACAGCTGCTCCAGGAGTCCAGGAGGCAGCGGCCAGGGAGAGTCTGAATCCTGTTCTGTTACTGTACAGTAGCTCTACGCGATGCTTTAGTAATGGAATACTGTACATCAGAGCTGCTTTTCATGGTACTTTCCCACCATGGACTTACATTATTTACTGAATTTAGACATATTTGAATTCACATGTTGAGTTTTCTCTATGGTTCAGAACATTTTTAGACCTGTTTTCAAAAATATTTTTGGAAGGCTACTCAAATCTTAAGTCTGTACATGCAGTGAAAAGCCATTTTATTATAGCACCAAGGGCTGTTTTTGTATTTGTATTTCAAGTACTGACACCTTCGCTAAACAAATATTACTGCTGGATATTTCTGTTTTGTGTTACTTTCAGCCGAAGTAACACAAAACACACATCAGAAAATAGCTTCAGTGTTAAAATAATTATTTCTTAGTTCACGCTGAAACCCAAACAGTCTATCCAACACAAACGAGACTTAAACGACTAACGAAACCATTGTTCCTAATTATTTTTTTGATAAATAACAAAGGACACAGATAAAAGATTTAGATTTTAAAAACACATATACATATTGAGTGTAGCTTGTGTGGCTGACGTGGCTTTTAGAAGTATGTACAGTATGTGTTGTATGCGGTGGAGAACAAACACTCAGCTCAACAAAAGTGCTGAGTTCAACTATGCCTCTCCCGTTTCATAGCCTCTTAAGCCTTTAATTTAATTATAACTACACAAAGTGGTTCATGCGGGCAAGCCACAGCTAGAAAAGTTGAGAGTGAAAGTTGTTTGAGCAGGTGAGTGTGACCAGCATTGACGACAGAATACTCAAAGTAAAGTGGGAGAGTGAACAGGTCAAAATCAGTGTGTGTGTGATCATCACAACTCCTGAACATGAGCGATGAGAAAAGGAATGAATGGACACAAGAATGGGTTTACATGGCTCACTAAAAGGGCATAAGGAGATGCTGAGATGTTGGATGGATTTGGGGAAACTGAAACAGGTCATTTGTTTAAAAAAAAAAAAAGGAGAGAAAAAAAAATCACTGAGGCCAATTTTACAAACAAAAAAAAAACAAGGGAAAAAACAGACGGCTGAAAGAAAGCGTCCGCTGATCTCACCATTAAACAAACACTTGAGCTGGACTTCCTTTTCTGACAGACGGCAATGAAGGAGGAAGAAAATAATCATAGAAAAACAAGGAACTGATCAAAAGTGTAGGTAAAAGTGCGAGCAGTATTAGTGGGTTCCAAGCACGAGACACGACCGATTACCAGATTATTTATCATTACGATGTCATTGAATTTACTGCCCCAAAGACACATAACAATGCAGTGCTTGAAACCCTTTGAAAACAAATCAAAATTGCACATGCTTTGAACGTAAAGCGGGACAAAGAATTATAGAGCTTTAAATTGGTTGGAAATGTCTAACCTCTGCATGCACAGACAAGGCAAAGAGCAAAATACATTTATATGTTTGTTTCAATTATTCTAACCTTTTAGTAAGAAAAATAATGCTCATTTATATAGCACATTTACCAGACCTGGGTCACACAAAGCGCTTAAGGAATAAATCTATCACTTTGTTTTGACGAGTTACAAAATTGGCTGTTGCATCTCACTGTCATTTATGTTGTGTAAATGTGCAAAGTGGAAGTAGTTGTTAAAAAGAGATTAGAAATGAGGAATAAGAATAGAACCGCTTACCTTCACACCGTCTGACTTTTTGTTAAGTAACGTTTTGCAAGCTGTAACAAAATAGGACATTTGTTAACATAAGAGAACCTTCCAGACTGGGGGAATGTCATTGCACATTACAGAACGGTATGAATACGAGGAGCACTCAAAAACAAAAAAATAACAATGATTTTTAGATATATCATTGTTTAGAGATACTTTTATTTGTATTGAGCATTATATGGCACCTTACCTGTCAATTATAAAGCAGAAAGCAGGACAGTGAAAGAAAAAGAAGAATTGCATTATCAAAATATTTTTTAGTAGTCAGTCATGCATGTCCATGCAGCACTTCGAAGCTTGACAATGTCATTTGTATTAGCTCAATATACTTTTGTGATAACGTAGTATCCGCTGATGCCACAGTTAGCCTTCACCAAAATGTCAAAGGATTTTTCATTTGTTAGTCAAACCAAAATAGAGCAAGAAGACTAAAGAGCACCCTGCACAGCTCTCCATGCACTACACCTTTAACACATGCTTTTCTCACCAACAAGAGAATAGGTTGCAGTTAGCACAGGCAAAACTAGCAAAGAAATCAAACTGAGAAGGATGCAGGTATTCCTGGTGCGACACAGCCTAGATACTGCCGTGTTTGTTTTGTTGAATTAAAGGTTAAGGCAATTATCCGCAGGGGTGATGATATGCAGGCTGGCATTAGGCCGCAGTGTACAGTGCCTGGGCCAGGTGGCAGCTGCAGTCACTGATGTCGCTTTTAGAAAACAGGTCAAAGGGTCATGTTTGGTGTCAGCTAAAGGTCTCAGTGTTGGATGCTGAAAATCAAAACAAGCCGATCTCAAGAGCAGCACTCATTAGACAATAGAGTCTCACAGCAGTGATGAAAAGGTCAGGAGTGGAAAAATTGTGCCATCACTGATTTATATCCATGGGATTTCTGTGTTTGGGGCGTCAGGCAGCAGGCTTATGGATGAGCTACAGAGGGGTGCTAAAGGAGGCGGGCCTTTAGGCTTGTGCCAATCAACATCACCTCACCACTCAACCTTTGGAAGAAGGATTCTCTCATCTTTTTACCCATAGACTAAAAGTTTTAAAACTTGTAGAGCTACGACACTCCATTTAGTTCTAATGTAATAATCTGATAACTCATGATTTCTAAAAATGTACTAAAAGCAAAAGTCAGAAAGACATATAGTCAAAGTTTAGGAGTTGATAAACCACAACATAATAATAACCTGATAACACACAATGAAGTGTAACTTACAGTAACCTCAACCTTAACTGCTGGTAAAAATTCTGTTTATGCTTGAAGCATCTGGTCGTATTTTTCAACTGTGACCCTCCATAAGAAAAACATCTGTGCAGTGCAAAAGGCTAATAACAACTTATTATTATTACTCTTTTAATCTTTCATTCAGGCCGTGATCCAAATCATCTCAAAACATGTATTATTTAGTCATTGTCCCAATTCCAACTTTTCTTACAATCAGACAGACACGTCTCTGGGATTACATCACCCCCTGGCAAAGGTAATGCATGTGGGTATATACAGTCTGCCAAAGGGTTTCAGATAGCATAGACTAAAAACCTGCCTCTATTTTGAAAAAAACAAGTACTTTTCCAGCTTTAACAATAAAAAATAGTGTATGGGAAAAATTAATGGGAAATATTCTTCCGGTAAGCGAGCAGTGATGTGGGAGGGATTGTTGCGCTCCAGAGCTCCACCCCCCTGTAGCGGACGTACCTTCCTGAGCCATAGCGGCAGTGCTGGTGGTAGCAGCAGGGCTGGTGTGCTGCCGTCCCACTAATGGACACAGAGGGATTGGATGTGTGTGCTTAGCAGGGATAAGAGCAACTGGAAGCTAAAAAGTAGAACTGCACAATGTAACCCAGTATCCATGTTTGGTTTTCTCACTGAAGGCCTTTTATTGGTTTGCTACAGCAAACAGACAAATAGATATTTAAAAACAGTCACTATAATGTCAAGCAACTATAGCAACATTTCAAATTAGACCTTAAAGAGTAAAACGCTGCTGTGCCTCTTTGGTTGTCCTCCATTTCTAGTCTGAATCCATCTTAACTACAGGAGCAACTCGGCATTACTCAAAGTATAAATGCATCAGGGCAATCATATAATTTCATTAGACTGCCAGGACACAGGCCGGCCCACAAATTGGGTGTCCAAACATGCACTCCATTTAAGTGATCAAACTGCTTACAAGATGGAAATCCAAGCCAAAGCCTCTAAGTGGGAAATACTTGGGTGAAGCCGGCAGAGATCTGAGAGTGTGAAAAGTTATTTGAATATATCCAGTTATTTGGAAACTATTGGCATTTAAAAAATATGAAGACAGAGTCTTCACTCTTAGCATTATATACAATTACAAGATATTTTCTTTTGGGGCTGACCATATCTGAATCATCTTTTCTCAAACCAACGAACCTCAGTATTTCTCATGCATGAATTAAAACCTACGTCTTCTAACCTGTATGCTTCTACATGGGCTTTTTGTATGTAATGTTGCACATGTTTTAGTGTGCGCAAATGACAAATGTACAAGATATATTTTAAAAGAAACTACTCACCAGAAAAGTTTCTGGACACCAACATCGTAGTCAGAATCGCTCCCTAGAGAATGAAGACTTTCAATGATATTCTTTCAAACACCACAGGTAGACTTTGTATTTTGCATTGACTCACTTTTAATTTACGTCTTGCATTAAATTTGCGCAAACACTCGACTGTCTCTTGACGGTGCATCATGGAGGCCACAGTGGAGCGTTGCTGTGAATAAAAAAACACTGTTAAAATAGTTGGATATTTTCTAACAGTAATTTTATCGGTATTGTAAAGGTTTAATTGCAGCCGGAAAGAGGAAACTGGCGCTATGGAATGGACTGAATAGTTTAACCGGCCTTATCACTTTGGAAGATGCCGTTTACTTGTGTAAATAAACTAGCTTTGCATGAGATCCCCCTAAAGTCAAACAATTGATGGACCAATCCATCAGCAGTATTAGACACCAGTTACAGTTGGCTCCGGAGAGCAGAGGGCTACTTACGCAGACCCATGGGTGTTTGAGAGCCTGGTCCGCAGTGATCCGTTTGGCAGGGTTGATGGTCAGCATCTGGTTGATCAGATTCTTAGCCTCTGGAGTCACAGTGTCCCACTCTGGAGAGGGGAACTAAACAGAGGAGAAAGGATAAAGATGGTTATACTACTACAAACCCCATAGACCCTCACATGTTTAGAAATGTATCTGAGGAAAAGACAGACTTATGACATTGAAGAGGTGCTTGTCACCACCAATTCACATAAGCACTCATGTTTGTGTAAGCTCTCAGTCGTACAGGGATTAGTCAAAACAAAGGAAGGTTTCTCACCCATCATCTGTAAGCACTCATGTTATGCACATTCATTAGATGCAATGGCGTATTATGGAAATGAATATGGGTAATATATTTCTCCTTCCCAAAAGACTGTGGTAGGATTTGATAAAGAGGCTCTTCAGTCTTGGTGGAAAATAGAGATTTATAATATAGTACTTGCTGGACTATGAGCCGTAGAATCTTGCAGCCTATATAGCAACCCAGTGTAAGCCTTTAATTTTGTTAGAGCGGCCTGTTAAATGATTTTGACACCATCCAGTACTAGTAGGGATGGGAATAATGTATATTGCCAAAAAGGTTAGGATTTCAAGATTGCTTTGATCATCATGAGGCAACAGTGTGTTAAAACATCTAGTCATTAAATCATTGAACTTGTCATCTGTAAAAAAATAAAAATAAAAATAAAAAGCCGTCAGTTGGCTAACCCTAACCCTGAGGCTTATATTCAAGTCCAGCTTTTTATGTGCAGTTACTATACATGTGTGCTTAATAGTCCAGTAGGTACTGAAAATATTGAACACATTTAACTAGTATATGAGTAAAAAGCCTAGATACTGCCGTGTTTGTAAAAAGAGATGGGCTTACATCATATGCACCAGCTTTAATTTGTTGATACAGCTTGTGTTGGTCCTCATCCCAGAAAGGAGGATAGCCCACTAACAAAATGTATAGGATCACACCTGCATCAAAAGACAATCTCAGTGTAAGAAAAGGCATTGTTATATAGATCTGTAGAGAGAAGTATAACAGACCGCATGCCCATATGTCCACCGGTTTGCCATAAGGGTCCTTCCGTAACACTTCTGGAGACAGGTAGCCTGGAGTTCCAGCAAATCCTAAAAAAGAAATAAAAACAATGCCGAAGGGAAGATTGAATATTTCTAGTTTGACTGTTGAGTTATTCCTTACCAAACCAGGCCTGTTGGTCGCCCTGCACCTCAATGGCAAGACCAAAATCTGCAAGCTTCACTGCCGCTCCCTTCATCTTACTGGCCAATAGTAGGTTCTCTGGCTGCAGAAAACAACATATTTATGCATCAACCAGCTGTTATGATCTGAACTATAGGGATTCATTGAACTGAAGTACACAGGCGGAGAAGATCCACAAACTTTCACCCGCAGTCATGCACGCACCCCTGGCATCACACCACACCCCCACCCGCCTGCCCCTCTATTTGGGAAGGACTGTCCTAAAAAAGGACCCAGCAAGTTGTTGTTTAATCAAGAGTAAATTATGAGCAAAATCCCTCAACGGAATATTCAATCATATGAGCGGACAATCTCCAGGAGCTAGATGTCATCTTATTGTTTACTCAGAGGCTTCACTCAGTTATACGAGATTATATCATACCAGACTTGTACTATAGAAACCGGTATGTACTTTTTCCATGTGAAGATCAAGCAAAGCTTTGTAATAGGTTTCTAGAATATGCATGAAAATCCGCTAATGTATTTGACCTGATGAAAGGCCGATGCCTTCACAATACAAGCACTTACAGTTTTAAGTCTGAACAGATGGACTGGTGGTTCTATGAATACATAAGGCAGCATTAAACCTGACATCCTTCTTATAAGGTTCATTCTGTTACGTTTGTCTAAAATAGGTTGAATGTCTAATCTGAACACTGACACATGATATTAGCCAAAACAATAACATCTACTTAATTATTTAAAATGTTGACCAAAGTTAAGAATTGTGCAAACGGTGCATTGTTTTAAGACCATATTGAGGCATAATTCTGGAATACAGTTCTCAATACCATTCTCTCGATGAAGTCGACTTAAACGATGACCCCAGAACTCTTGTGCTGATAGAACAGTGGAAAGGCAGGCGAGCAGCAGAACACAGACAGATAGATGGGAGGTGGCATAATGAGTCCCTACACTGGCGCAGCAGCCGGGTGACCTCCCCCCAGTTACCATGGCAACACTGCCTGCCACCAGCTTCTGCCCATCCCTTCTGTGAATGGTCCAAGAAGACAGAGGGGTCAAAGCTCTCCAAGGTATACTGTGTGGATACCATAACACTTTTATTGTTTTTCTTTTTTAACACACAAGTAGCTTTCAGTGTGTTATTCCCACAGAAAAAAGTGGTCAGGTGTGGAAAAAGTGTATGTGAAAGCTGGTATCATTTTTAGTTGCACAGAATAATTTTTTTCAAATGTATACAAACAGATTAAATGAAACTTAAGTCTCACTTTCAAGATAAGGGTCTGTGTGTTTTAACATTTACAATGTAGCCAAAATTTGCCACTCTTTTAAAACAGCTTCAGGTGTTTTGATATTTTCGAAATGGTTTATCAATAACAATACAAAGATCAGCGCATAAGGGGTCAACGGGCTGTAGTTTGTGCCAGGGGTGAGCAAATCCTGCTGCAGGGGAATCGTCACTCGCCCTCATCTCACCCACCGACCGGCTATAAATAGAATCCGACTGCTTTCGTCACTCCTCAAAAACCAGAGAGAAAAGGAGTGTGTGTGTGTGTGTATGTGTGTGTGTGTACCTATGTGTGTGTGTGTATGTGGGGGGGATGAAAGAGGGGACCGCTTCACAATGACAGAGGCCGGTAGACACAGGTGGAAATGAATGACGCTGAACTTTGTCTGGACGTCACCACATGACGTCTGTCTGTGTGGACCTACGGGAAGGGGCACACAGCACTTTCATTCACACCAGATAAGTGGAGGCTTAGAAGAGGTTTTTGAGGTTCTTGGGTGAGTGCCACTGGATTTTTATCTTCGAGGGATGAAACTAACTCACCTTGAGGTCTCTGTGAACAATGTCATGTTGGTGGATGTGACTGACACTCTCCAATATCTGATTAATGCAGTGGCTGAAAGACAAAAGGAGTCATGTTCAGCCGGTTCATCTTAATTAAAAAAAAAAAAATGTTCCATTCACTTCATCATTTCACGTGTGAAATAATACCACATAGCTACCCTCCCGAGGGAACAGGAACAAAATGTTATGTTATTTTTTTCCAAATTTCAATTCACTTTAGGAATGTAACTAATTTATGGGTATTACTTTGTTTTAAAAAAGGCAGAAAACTGCTTTAAATATGATGTTGTAGTGAAACAGTTACATAATACTACACGTAGGGATGCACCGATACTGGTATCGGGGTATACCATGGGCTTGTACTCATACCATAGGACCCTATCCGGGCAACCGATACCCACATTTTAAAAAAAACAAAAAACTGCATAGCAGTTTTTTTAAGTTAAAGAGTGACAAGAGTAAAGCGAACTGCATGTTGTGTCAGGCAAAACTGTCACGAGGTGGGTCCAAAACAAACACGTATAACACCAGCAACTTGATCAAAAATCTGAAAACTCACCACCACAAAACAACCAACATACCATTTGTGTTATATGACAGCGGCTCTCATTATTGACTGTTAAAACAATTGCTAAATTGTTTACTTGTAAAAGCATTATGTTATTGTTGAAATGAGAAATAAAACATTTTCAATTTCAGTAGTATAAGTTTTATGAATTCCCAGGGATAACACAATGCAGTAGTTGTATCGGTATTTGGTATTTGGTAGTTCTCAAATTAAGGTACTCGTACCGGTTTTGAAAAAAGTGGTATCGGTGCATCCCTAACTACAGGACTTGAAACAGTTCTGGATATTAGTATCAACGGATGTAAAAACAACTCCTGGTTTGTTTTTGATGAGAGAACAATGGAGTTTTTTTTGTCTTTATTCATGTATTAATAGCCTTAAATCTATAGTCATCATCAAAGTTCTGTGAAGTAAAGCGAAGAGACGACACCACTGACGCGTCTAAAGCATCACTGTACCTGGCATCAGCTTCACTGTAATACTCTCTGGCAACAATGTCCTCGAACAGCTCTCCTCCAGTCACACTAAAAGAAAGTCACATGTGCAATCATTTCATTTTCAAAAAGGTCAATGTCATCACACATACACCAGCACACATTGGACGGGGAACTGCCCAAACCAAAAGATTTGAACTTGGCATTAAGGTAATGTGTGGTGCAATTGGAGATTATACAAATCCCGGTGAAGGAGAGCGGACACTAAAAAGGACTATTATTTTTTTACTTTATAAAAAACCGGACAAAACAAATTGCCTAAACATTGTGAAGTGTATTATATAAATCAGTGTATGCATGAAATACTCACAGGTCAAACACCAAGTAATGGAAGCCTTCTTCTGAGATGCTGTCATGAAGGCGAACTGTCAAGAAGAAACAAGATAATATTGTCAATTTAGGGCTGTCAAAATTATCGTGTTAACACACATTCATTAATTATTTTCATTAATGTGCCAAATGACTGGCCCCCTGCGCGCGTGACCGCGGGGCAATTGCTGTAAATGGGAGTCCGCAACGTTCCGGGGCAGCAGCGGCCGCTTTGGACAGCGGTTCCCGCGTCCAGTGGCTGTGAGCGGCTTTCAACAACACGGGAGCGCGCAGCCGCAACGTGGCTATGTACCCAAGACCATATATACACACAGAACCATACTCTGCTTGTTGTGTGGGTGACCAGTGCACACAATAAAACAGCGCTGCAAGAAACAGTCCATCTCCCCCGTGTCTTCTCCCGAAGCGAAAAAAGCTGGGGTACCTAACTTTTCCTTTGCACTACCATTCCATGTTGGTTGTACCCAAAAGGGAAATGTTGCGAGCAAATCAAACAGATTTAATGACAGCCATTGGCTGACATGCACTTCAGACTTTTTTTTTTAAATGTCCCATTCTCATCCCTGTAACAAACAATAGTTTGTAGAGGCACAATACTGAAGAGGATCCACAGCCTTCATGAGAAGGAGAAGAAGGAAGAGCAGGCTTTAGCAGATGCGGAATATGTCGTGCTGAAAAAATAGTGTCTACTACAGAAAGACAGAATGTTAATAATGTTAATGCTGGATTTAATGTTTATGTGGATTTATTGTTATAATAAACAAATACAGTACATATGTACACTATGTTGTCATTTATCTTTCCATTCAAACAACCATTTATAGAAAAATAGGGCATCATTTTGCCGATAGTTCAAAATGTGATTAATTACGATAATAATTTTTTAAGCTGTACTTAACTCGATTAAAATGTGTAATCGTTTGACAGCCCTATGTCAAATATAACATTTGAGTAAACCAGGAAGGTCCGTGTAGCTTCCATTCATTCCATTTTTGTTTCTGACATGCCAAATAAAAAAAGGAATTTGGGGCTTTTTCAGTTTTCTGATATGTGAAGCAAATGGCAAATATATTACCTCTCCTTGTGTAGGAAAGACAAGCATTCTTCTGTTGTTATAAAAACAAATGTTCTTCTGACCCAACTTCTGATATCTGCTCACATTTACTAGAACGTAACATGTAAGAAACCAAAAACCACTCATGAAATCAGAAGTTTGGGGTAGATATCCAGACTCTTTATTGCAGTAAATGCATGTGGTTCTGGCTGGTCAGCAAAGCAGGAAGTGTTTTCTGCTTAAAACATAAACACCATTTCATTTCATCCAGATTCATCATCATTTTTGTTATGTACATTTAGGTAAATAATAATATGACCAAATCATTCAGCACTAAAGGATGTGGTCATAAAACAATGTGGGTTCAGAGAAAACAAACCTATGTTGGGGTGCTTAAGCAGCCGACAGATTCTTGCTTCTCGTTCAAGTTTCTGATGATCTGCAAGAGATGAAAAGTGTAAATTAGCAAAAATGTGTTAATCATGTACAAAACATATACTGTACAACATATACTGTCAGTCCATTGTAACGGGGGACGACGTCTTGCGAGAAATCAGTAAAAACCAAGATTTACAGCTTTTTTACAAAATCATTCACCTTTAATCAGTGGAAGGGACAAGGAAACAAAGAGAGCAGGTCATAACAGGAATTTAAATGGGACACTGTGGACTAAAACGTTGCCTTTTTTTCAGTCTGTGAAACACTTGGGTTCAACACTTGTGCAGACTAGAGGAGACTACTTTGTTGATGTTTTTGAATTGGGAAAAGCAGCTGTGGCTTTAAAGGAATAGGCCACCGTTTTTACATACTGACATATGTTCTTACCTTACCTTAGACTAGACCTGTCTGGTCTTTGTCCGTGCGCTCTGTCATGCAAACGGAGCACAAACGCAGCCTCTTCCACATACTGTATAGTAACAAAACAGCTCCCCTTTAGAAGCTACCAAACTCTTCCACGTGTTCCCTATTTAAATACAGTTACGTGACGTGTTACACTACCAAGTATAGTAACACAGAAGTGTATCATGTCAATTTTCTCAGCGGATAAAAAGTCGTACTATATTGTGAGGCTTAATAATACGAGGAGCACTACGTCCGCGCACTAACTCCTAAAGACAGCGTGAGCGTGAGACATGTTACCTTTCTGTGTTACTATACTTTGTAGTGTAACACGTCACGTAACTGTATTTAAATAGGAAACACGTGGAAGAGTTTGGTAGCTTCTAAAGGGGGGCAGATTTGGTACTATACAGTATGTGGAAGAGGCTGCGTTTGTGCTCCGTTTGCATGACAGAGCGCACGGACAAAGACCAGACAGGTACATATCAACTCGTCTAAGGTAAGGTAAGAACATATGTCAGTATGTAAAAACGGTGGCCTATTCCTTTAAGAACATTGCTTGACCCCTGTGTTTCATACTCTGATGGACTTTATTTTTTGACACTGAACATCAAAAAGGATTTGAGCTATTGAACTCCCAACTCAGTCACAAACACATTTTGCCACACTTTTAAAGTACTGAATCAACAGAATTCACTTGTTACAAGTCATGTAATCCATGACAGCCATTGAAATCATAGGTTCACAATTTATTGTTTTACTTAGTCAAATTTCTGTATGTATTTCAAGTATATATTTCACACAATATTCAAGCACAAATCACTAGCTTCTCCCCATTGAAAATTACCATACTATTCCAAAGACAGCTCAGTTTGAAATTAATATTTAGGAAAAGTCTTATAAAAGATCCATATCAGCTTCATATCAGAGCTAAACGGTACCCAAAACAGCTGTTGTCAACCAATATGAGCTCATAGAGATGGACAAGGCGAGACCGCAGCTCTTGCTTTTTGCACTTAGCGAAATTAGACTTGTGGGATTGGTTTTAATTTAATCAGTGCTGAGTTAATGATTTTAATGGCATGGACAGGATGTCCATATGTGTCCGTGTGGCTGTGTGCAAGAATGACCAAGAGCTGTGGGGCAGATCAGGACCCAATACAGGAGCAAGGCCAGAGGTCAAGTTCATGATGACCACACGAGCCGTGAGCTGCCAGATGCACGCCTCGAGGGACAGATGGAGTATTATGAGACCAGCCCTTCTGAGCTTATTTTGGCCTTGATGCATGTGACTGAGAGCACTGCATGGCCCTTACTCCGACACAAAGACATTTAAGGGCGTGTAGCTGCAACAGTGAGCCCACCGAGTGGAAATTATCGGGCGGAGGTTGTCTAGATGTCAAAAGTCAAACTGGCTAAAAAAACAGGAAAATGAACAGGAAATACTTCCCTTCGGTGCAGATGAGTCATTAAGATGACAAGAGTCAAACACAGTGGTTTGTGCTTCAGAATGGCCCCCATTTCCCCCAAGGGCATAAAAAGGAAAACCTCTTTCTTAGTTAGTTAATTAGTTAATTAGTCGTTTGAGTTCTCGCTAGTGTTGTGCTTGTGATAAGAAACACATTTTTACATAACTTTTTTTTCTCATCTAGGCAAAATTAAAACACTGACAAACTTTTGCTCTGAAAAATTGAAATATGCATTCTGCTGAACAATGAACCACTTTAGTGCACGGTTGATATTGCACACAGCCTTGCTTTAAATAGTCCCAGGGCAGCTGTGGCAACCATGAAGCTTACAACCAGTGTGGATCGATTGAATAATGACTTCAGTGTACAGCTTTGAGAGGCTCTGAAAAGCCTCTAAGGCGCACGACGAGGGCAAAGCAGTTGTACTAGCAATAGTAGTAGTAAAAATGAATTCATCTTTATACAGATGTATAATATCAGTAGCATATTATTCTTTCAATTGTTCCGAAACGCTGTGATCTGGTGTTTTCTCAGAAACAAGGATTTACATCTGCATGTGGTCCAATTAGAATTACTGTTCGCTGACAGTGAGCTCATATCATCATATTCATATATCGTATTCATCTAGCCACTCTTTTATTGAGCTTGCATAGTCTTTAAAGAAGCTAGTCAGAGCACTGATGTATCACCTTACTTAAGCACTGCCTGTTTTGTCTGTCACTCGTCAGCCTTTAAAAATCTATTATGCCAGATATTACAGAGGGCAGTTCTCAATACTTATATATACAGCGACTTCAAAAAGTCGCTGCCCACCAGCGACTTTTTGAAGTCGCTGGTGGGCAGCACTCACGGCTGATGTCACTGAGCGCTGCATATTGTGACACTGTCGTGTGGGAGAGATCCGTCAGCTCCGGACCCTCCTGTTCTACACCTAAGCGCCCGGTTCCGAATAACGAGCCCGCGGATTCCGAGGAGCCATCCTGCGCCGTGGCCCATGTCCTGAGTCTGGCAAACCGCTATGCAGCCCTCTCCACCGACATCCCGGCCCCCTCAGCAGAACCTCTGGACACTGCAGCAAACTCTACTGCTCGAGGATCCAAGTCCACTGCGAGGAAAACGCTCCTAAAGGAAGCAGTCCTCAGGCGAAAGAGCGGTCCACCAGCCATGTTGACCCCAGTGCAGCAGCCTCAGACTGGGGTAGCGAGCCATCATCACCACCGCTCACCTCCACCGGGTCAGCAGCAGCGCCCAGAGCCAGCCCCTCTCACCGCTCCAGCGTCCCCGAGCACACAGCGTGGGTCGCCTGTAGCTGAGAGTCAGCACCCCCGCTCCTCCTCTCCATGTGTTCAGCGGCGCTCAGGCTCCGGTCCTGCTTCGGGTGAACCCGCTGGTTCCGTCCACCGAGCTCCTTCTCCGAGGCCACTCTTCGCCCCGACCACTCTGATTATTGGAGATTCCATCGTGAGACACGTCCGCTTCTTCAACGCGGTCACTCGCTGTATTCCCGGAGCTACTGTACCAGACCTGCTCATACGCCTCCCTCCTCTGCTTCAGTCCCTGCCTGATACCGTTTCCAAGGTAGTCGTGCATGTGGGAATTAACGACATGAAACTTCAGCAGTCAGAAGTCACGAAGAAACATTTTATGGATCTGTTCCACCTCCTTCAATCCACGGGATTATCTGTTTTTATTTCTGGTCCAATCCCGACTGTAAACAGAGGTGACTGCCTCTACAGTCGTGTTGTGGCGCTGCATGTGTGGCTTCAGGCTACATGCAGCTCTTTTAACTTTGTCTTTGTGAATAACTTTGCCCTTTTCTGGAAACGTAACGAAGCCTATCGTCCAGACGGATTACACCCAAACAGATACGGTAGCAGCCTGTTGATGGATTACATACGTTACGTTGTTCAGCGTTCCCCGAGGGGGGCGTGACTGTTTACATCTGAGCCCCCTCGGACCCCACCGCACTCCCCCGCCTCCTGCTCACCAGCACCGGGTGAGTACAACGGTGCAAACACTGCTCCCTGTCCGTCTGGCAGTGCATTACCAGTCCAAACACTGAACTGTGCTGACTCCCTTCTGACTCTGGGAGCTAAAGAACAACAAGGGTTTTCACATTTTAGGCCAATTGAGACTGTGTGTGTTCCTCGCACCAGCTCAAAAATGTTTTTAAATTCTAAAAAACGAAATCAAAACAGGACAGCAGTTAGACGGTCCAACTCTGCAAATCTAATTTCTGTTCCCTGTAGAAATCAATCAACCACATTAATCGACTCTGACGTTATTTTTAAACTTGCTATGCTTAATGTCAGATCTCTATGTAACAAATCATTTTTAATTAATAATTTTATCACTTCTTATGATCTTGATTTTATGCTTATGGCTGAGACATGGCTGGACCAAAATACAGGAAATGCAGTTCTAATAGAAGCAACACCACCCAATTTTAAATTCGAATCCGAAATACGAGAAAACAAAAGGGGGGGAGGCATAGCTGCAGTTTTTAGAGAGCACTTTGTCTCCCATAGAATGCCCCTTGGAAATTTTTCATCGTTTGAGTATATTTCTTTTAAAATGGAACAAAAGCAATCTTCTACTCTTTTCATTGTCCTGTACAGGCCACCACAGTCATGTTGCGATTTTATTGACCATTTTACTGAACTACTTTCATTCGTGTGCACAGATTTTGATAGTTTAGTTATTACAGGTGATTTTAATGTACATGTTGATAATGTTGATGACAGAAATGCAAAGGAGCTGGCTTCTGTATTTGAGACCTTTGGTTTCATTCAGCACGTGAGTGGCCCCACCCACAGCAGGGGGCACACTCTTGACCTGCTAATTACAAAGGGGGTTAATGTATCAAATGTTAATGTAGTTGATGTTGCTTTGTCAGATCATTTCTGTGTATTTTTTGACATGTGTTTTGCTAGCAAACCACCAGCTGAATTTACAACTGTTAGAAGAAGACACATACATGAAAACACAAGTGAACTGTTCATGGGAATGCTAAATTTTGAGAAAACTCCATGCTCTACTGTTGATGAATTGTATAACTCTGTCACCACCAGTGTTCTGACTGTTCTGGACGCCATTGCTCCTGTGATGGTTAAAATAGTTACCAGTAAGA